TGTATGAATAGAGCAAAACCTGCTGCACAGCACCGCATCGCGCCGAATTAGCACCGACCCGGAATCCCCGGAATGCGTCGTGTGATGTGGCAAAATGCAGCAGGCAAGCAGGAACCGGTCGACACAGAAATCGCACCGAAAAAGCGTTGTTTCGAGTTTTGTTGTCGGTGTCGTAACTCACCACTCGGCAACGTGTTTGCCAAATTACGCAGATGGAACGTGTCCGAGCTGCTGATCATCTGGCCGTCGGCGTCGTCGTCGTGGCTCGTCCCTGCGGGGCGCGACCGACTCGTACATCGGTGTGCGAACGACTGACGCGGCGCGCCCCCAGGAGGCGGCCGCCTCTCCGACACCGCTCGCTGCCGACAGCGCGCTGACACTCGAGACCGCGAAACGGAGTCAACGGCGGGCTTTACCTGGACTGAAGTGGGAGCGCTTGGTGTCGCCGTTGTCGGTGTCACCGTCCAGTGGTCTCTTCCTGGAGTCGGCTATCTCTGGCGACGGGCACGTATCCATTCCCGAATCGGCGGCCATTTTGTCAATGTTCAGGCGTCCATCAGCGCAGAGCGGACCGCTTTACGTATGATTTCTGTGTTACGACACTGCGCACTGACAACACTCGCGCACCAGCTGCAGGGTGAACTCTCGGAGATGAACGACAGTCTACACTGCTCACAGGCTCGTCGCAGACTGAATCAGCGACATGTCACGGGGCGGTGATTAGATAGCGTCCCCCCACTTGGCCTTGGAAGCGAAGGAGCTATGGTGAAGATGCGCGCACCAGGTCGGACTATTTTCGGCTTCGAAGACGGCGGACAGGATACGACGATTACGACAGGACACCGGACTGCAACTAACTATACCAAGGGAACATATCTGCAACAGAGATGACAAAATATAAGTGATGATCCCTGCCGGGATGGAACGGGACGGGACGGTTTGCACCAAAATAAATTCTACTCGCTTTAATAAAAACATTTGTAGATTTGATTCGACGGACTATTATCGGACGCGATGGTGACGATAACACAGGTGTCCTTGCACCGGTTGCAGGAAGTGAGCTTAAAGCATATAATGCGTCATTGGCTGCGGTCAAAGTTATCTCTCAGTCTAGTCAAACTGCCCTAATTTATGTTCATATTTAAGTTGTGCTTATTATTTTTTGTGATTTGAATAAATACATTTTAAAAAACTTTTAAAACCGTTTAAACCTCTAGTCCAGCATGACCCACAAAAGATACCTTTATTATAATAGTTTTTCGAAAAAACAGAGTAAGGGCCAGTTTCATAATCGAATTAAAGAGAGTCAGTGCTGGTTTATAATGTGAATTTTTTTTCCACAAGTCCGTAGTAATCAGCACGTTCTAAATAACATTTACTTCAATGCTTCTTTAAATTCAATTATGAAACTGGCCCTAAATTCAAACCTAATGTTTTGCAATATTATACTTATTGAATCAAATTTTAAATGCAGCTTAAATGTGTATTTTGCATTTTTATATAAAATAGCGGAATTACCTCAAAGTATGTTGACATGCTTTGATGGTTTTGTTGTTCAGTGTCATTTCCGCAATATTAAAAAAAGGTACCTTCTAACGGTCTTTGATTTTTACATGTACTAAGACTAAATAAAGTACAGGATCACTCAGCTAAAAGTTTCGATGGTCTTAGTTATTTGTTCAGTTTCTTGTAATAATAGTAAACTAAATTAACAAAAAAATCGACTTTTGATTTGCAAATGTTGACATACCTACTACGAGTATCATTTCTCAATATTTTATAATAATCGAAAACTTTTTCCACGTATAAGTGAACTAGCAATATACCTGAAGGTATACTTTACAAAATAGTTAAAAATAATATCACGAAGTGATTTTACTGATTTTTGTAAATAGGTACATATTAACAAAAAATGGTCAGACTGTTTTGTTGTTTTTTTTTTAATAAAAATACAGAGATTTTAAAATTACACATTGTCTTGGTAAGACTTGTTGAATAATTAGTATCAAAATACATAATTCATAGTTAATAAACACTAGCATCTAATAAATCACAAAAACAATTTATTTGTCTTCGTTTTCTTATCCTTTTCTTTATTTCATCTTCATTTTTCTAAAGTACAACGGGTTTATTTATTTTTTATAAAACAAAAAAACTAAAATTTATATTAGAGAAGGTAAACGGAAAAATACAAAGGCATTAAGCACAGGCTTTTAACGATTTTTGGTAAACTCAACAAATTCTCAAAATTGGGGTGATAAGTTAATTAATGCTACTTGTTTCATGCATGAATTAATTATACTTCCTCTCCTCCAAAATAGGTAAATGTCCAATTTAGGAATTTTATTTGTAACAAAATAAGTGTCCAATTAAAACTATAACATAAACAAAAAATCATTTAAAAATTAACACTTAGGTATGAGTAACATTTAACAAATTAGTAACTATACAATAAACGGTCAAGTTCCTGACTCGCTATTTGAATTGCAGCTGGCCACTATTAAAATTTAATTTTTTCTTTTTTTTGACAGTTTTGTCATGACGAGAGTAGTAATACTAATAATTAACCTTAAACTAATTGTTATTTTACCTGTTTACTTCAAATACTATTTTAACAAATTTTAAATTTGTAGGAGCTACTGAATTAATTTTTCCCATGCTTAATTTAAATAAGTAACTACTGATACATTTAATTCAGTTTTTTCAATAATCCATTAAAAAACTAAAATCGAATACTTATTTTGGAACGCATGGAGTATTATTTATTATTATTTTATTAAAATTTTATTTTTTTAATTAAAAGTGAACTTATGTTATTTTTATGTGAAGAGCTATCCTGCAGTTATAAAATACACCCAGGGTGAATATAAAGTATGAAACCAAGCGTTTTTTTTTTAATCATTTGCCTCCAAAAAATAATAATTAATATAAATTAAAGTAAAATAAAAAATGTGATCGTAATTTGAGAACTAAATTTTGAGTTATGCGGTTTTTTTTTGTCAAAATTGCAATTTATGTAATTATATTAAATATGTAGATAATTGTAATCCTTGGATCATAACATTCATGAGAAAAATGGTTTTATAGTGGGTTGACATTTTAAAAAATGAAATTTTTTGTAGAACTCAAAAACAAAAGAAAATTTCGAAAAATTTTATTCTTGATAAAACATTTTTAGAGTTCTTTATCATTCATCGATTAGTTTTTTCAAAAAATAGTTTAAGCGAAAAACGTTTGGTTCCATACTTTTTTATTCACCTGGTACCTATGTATAATGCAATACAAAATATGCAAAAGAAACAGTATTCCAACACCAAAATGCTCTTTTTACTTTGACTAAAAAATTGTAATATTAAAAAAAATCCTGCATCTAAACCGGTATAGTAAGTGGTCCAAAAATAAAAAAGGCAACTAAAATCTAAAACTGATAGAAGTCAGTAACTTCGTGGGTAAATTATGTAAAATAATACTCACTACAAACACTAAATCATTATTTATGATTATATGCCTGTTATATCCATTTTAATATAAATTTTAAATTCCAGTACAGACCTTACGGTCTACGGGATACAATAAAACGGAATGTTCAATAGCGACGATGGTTTTGCCGCCTTTATCAAACAGTATCTATTGACTAAATTTAAAATAACAACATAAACAACTTGATAAAAGTAACAAATAATGACGCATCTTAGAGCCACAATAAGAAATTGCGTTGCATTTGCGATGACGACACAATGAAACATCGTGATTGTCCTACAAATAAATGAATATTCGAGTCCCCAAAATCGCCGCCACTTTCCAACTTTTTATTGCAATAAAATATTAGCAAGCAAAAAGAGAAATTATGCAACATTCCGAATAACCTCCAACTTTAATTATAATTAATTACTGAAATTAAAACCAAAAAATTAGGAATAAAAGGTTTCGCTTTTATTTAATTCCGAAGGACAAATAGTAGAAACCATAGTTTTTGCAGTTTGTGGAAGTCGAAATGATGATGCGAATCAATTCTATTAATAGTCCATAAACTTTTTCTGTTTACGCCGAACTTCATTAATTTCAATGCTAATAACGTAATAACTAAAAAAATAGAATAAATTATTACGTCGCTTTTTATTCACAATGATAAAATACAAGGATTAATTACCACACGTGCTGCGTTTAGAATATTATCTCCTCCCGGGTCGCATAACAACCGATTTTTTAAAGATACTTGTAATAAAACCTGCGGGCGTCCAGATGAAAACCTATCTGATAAGAAAAATAGGTCGCGCACGCCCCTGACTTGAGTCAAATTTAGCGACAATCGACAAGTGGCTTGTGAAAAACTGACATGTGGTGATTGACAATTGCCGTAATAAATTTAGCTGTAATTTTAAGACAGAAAAAAACTTACACAACACGAATAATTTCTCAGACTCCGACACTGGTGAATTTTCAGTTAAACGAAGATGTGTCCCTGAATTTATCGAAAAAAATGTCGAAATGGATTTAATGGGAAGCACTAAATGACACAAACAAAAATTTTTACGTGGACAAATGACACTTTTGACGAATTATGGCCAGCTGTGATTTATTTGAATTTTACGAGATAATGACAGTTATGTAATAGGAGAAAAGCCTTATCATAATAGCACCGATAACGATTTTTAAACAACCCGCAACTGTATAATCGTTAAAAAGTTAATATAATTATTTTTACAAGCACTGTAAATAAACGTTTCCCAAGATGTGCCGCCTCCTTGAAACAGCAATCAAATGCGCGCGATACAAGGACGTTTTGTAATTTTGTCGTTTATAATTATTTTACAGCATTGTGCGCGTAAAGAAATGTCCATTTTTTTATTACCCATGGAAACCAAACATTATAAGCAATTTAAATTAATTATTCCAAAAAATCGCGACGACTTCGCGATTGTTGATACAGATTCCTGTAACTTTTTTGTGTCGCCACGACTGTTACAGCTGATTTTGACACATTTGACATTCACAATTTACAAATCAGAAACAAACATGGCGACGTTGCGGTATGTGTTTGTTTGTTTCTGTTGGTGGTCTTTAGTAAATAGTGATGTTTTACACGAAAATTCATCAGAATCTCATTCTTCCGAAATTTCAGCAGTGTTAAATCACCTGAATGCGTCCCCATTCAAGGTGTACAATTACAACAAAGCAACCCTACTAAGTGCGCAGACAAAGGTATAATTTTAGCCATGATTTCAGCTTGTTTATGTTATATGAGATAAAGTAGGTTATTGATAGCACAATTACGCCTCTTTTAATTTTTAGGCTGATATCATTGAATTAATTCTCGACATAAATGTGGATTGTATCAACAAATACCCCAATGTACCCTGCTCCGAAAAAATTGTCACTTGTCATGCTTTCGTGAGGAATACACCTGAAGAGGGCAGCAAGGTACTCACTGATGTTAATTGTAAACCTAAGCCCGAGATTATTATTGATGAAGTATATGACTCACCAATAAATCTAACTGATGTCAACACAGACGAACCAAAACCTGTAAATTTTGTTTATATTTATCTGTTTTTTTTCCTAATGTAATAATTACAGATAATGTTAAGCAACGAAGCTGTTTCATCAGAAGTAGGCGAACATTTTGTCGCTGTAAAGAAAGATTCAGTTCCTTGTTTAGGTTGCCCCTTTGACCTCAGCACAAATGCGGAAGGCGTGGATGAGCTAATTGATGTAGCTTTAGAACACATTGAGACGGAACGTCCCAAAAAACAAGCTCTGGTCAAAGTTCTTAGATTACAACAACAAGTAAATAAATTCACATTTGACATTATTCACTTAATTCATTCTTAAACCGTTGTAGGTTGTAACTGGAGTTAAATATATCTTAACGGCGGAATTTGCGTCTACGATTTGCGTAAAAGGTGTTACAGATGATCTATCTCTATGCCCGAGAGACACAGAAATAGGGACAACTATTTGTGAGATTACTTATTTACATAAACCTTGGATAAGTAAAGCCAAACACGTAATTAAAAATAATTGCACTATTTCTCAAGAATACGTCAAAGCTGATACCAGGAAGTCTGATATCAGTAATGAAATTGATGTTACTGGTAAACGTACAAAACTAATTGACACTCCTAATTTTGATAAAATGGCAGAAAATGGGGCTATTGATGAAATGACACCGTCACGATTAGCGGATTTAGAATCACAAATAATTGCAGATGTGAAATCTGAAATTATAGTGCCATCCACTGTGGAATCGCACCCCCAAGTAGAGAGCAAACTTGAGTTTGACTTATTTCAAACGCCTGAAAGTCTGACGGTATATGAAGCTCCTGCATTTACAACGAGTGTTACCATGGAGGAACCTACACCCACTGAAGAAGAAGCATCAAGGTTGAAACGTGATGAAGGAATTAAACAAGATTCTTCAAGCGAATCTGTGGAAATGTCAGCAAAGCAAAGTCAAGCAACAAGCAGTTCTGAAGAAAATTCTAGCGAAGAAGTTTTAAGACCAAGGAGAGCAATCCGTCAATTGGAAAAAATTTCGCCTGATGAGAAAGGTTTGGTGAAGAATTTGGCAGACTTTGCCGCCAATGCTTTAGACAACATTGACGATGATAACAATAAACGAATAATTTTGCAAATTTTGGGAGCTAAAAAAATGGTCGGGGATGATGGTATTTATTATCATATTATCATGCGAATGGGAATTTCGCGGTGCTTGGAGGACAGTCCAATCAATCCGTACGAAAATTGTAAAGATAAACTTTTTGAAAATTATACGAAAATCTGCAAAGTCCAGGTTTACGTGAACGATGATTTTGGCAGCAAAAAAGTCGTAAAGTCGCAATGTCAAAATATAAAACGTGACAAAAATGATAATAATCGCACGAATTACAGTCGTTATAAGCGAGATGTCTTAGTGGGAGCTCCAAATCGTATTGACAAAAATAATGAGAAAATTCAACAATATGTCAAAGAAGGAATTAATGGTTTTAATGCAAATTATAATAATAATAATAACAAAGTGAAACCAGTTGAAGTGATTTCAGCAACAACCCAAGTTGTTGCAGGGACACTTTATAAAATCACGGTGAAAATATCCGAATCTGATTGTTCTAAAAACGATAATAAAGATTTAGATGAATGTAACATTCTTGAAGGGGCTTCACCGAAAACATGCGAGTTGGAGGTGTGGGATAAACCCTGGGAGAATTTCAGACAATTCACGATAAAATGTGAAGGAGACGAACAAAAAATAAAATTTCAAACAAACCCTAAAAATAGAGCTAAACGACAAGCTCCCGGTGGACAAATACCGGTGACCAAAGACAACGAATACGTTGTTAAATATTTGGAAGCGGCTTTAAGCCAACTCGATGCCAACTCTCCACATGAAAATAAGTTTAAAGTCCACGAGTTTCTTTCTGCAACCTCGCAAACCGTCTCGGGTCACATTTATCGAATCAAAACCAAAGTGGTACTTTCTGATTGTAAAAAATCTGTTTCCACCGAGAGAAGTCAGTGTGGAACCCTTCAAGATGCTAAACCCAAAACTTGCAAATTTGAAGTTTTTGAACAAACGTGGGTACCTAACAGCCGTCGAATTAAAACTGATTGTGATAAAGAGAGAACAAAAAGGCAAGACTTGGACGGTGGAATATACGACGTTGATAAAGACAACGATGAAGTTAAAAAATTCGTCCGCGAAGGTTTACTCAATTTGAATACTCATTTGACTACAAATAATAAAGTCAAGCCTGTAGAAGTGGTTTCTGCTACTGGTCAAGTTGTGGCAGGCATTGTGCATAGGATTAAAGTGAAAATTTCAGAGTCAGATTGTTCGAGAAACGATCAGAAAGATTTTGAACAATGCAATGTACTCGAGGGGGCTTCACCAAAATTGTGTGAGATGGAAGTGTGGGATAAACCATGGGAAGGCTTTAGAAGGTACACTATAAAGTGTGAAGGCGAGAATAAACAACACCAGTTTGTCTTAAATCCAAATAGGCGATCTAAGCGTCACACCCTTGGTGGTGAATTACCAGTGACGAAAGATGACGAATTTGTTGTTAAATACCTGGAGGCTGCTTTGAATCAACTCGACGCTGAGTCTGAACACGAAAATAAGTTTAAAGTTCACGAATTTATTTCTGCGACATCCCAAACCGTTTCAGGTCACATTTATCGTATTAAAGCGAAAGTGATACTTTCCGATTGTAAAAAAACGATTTCGTCCGAGAGAGATCACTGTAGTACTCTCAAGGACGCAAAACCTAAAACATGCAAATTTGAAGTTTTTGAACAACTTTGGGTACCTAATAGTCGTAAAATTAAAACCGATTGTGACAGTAAGAGAGTAAAACGGCAGAGAAGCGAAAGTGTGTTTAACGCACACACCCGAAGGAGTAAGAGGCAGTCAATACCGGGTGGAGCCACCGAAATAGATAAAAGAAGCGATAAAGTCAAGCAATATGTCCAAGAGAGTTTAACTCATTTAAACACTCAACTGACTTCCAGCAACAAGGTCAAACCTGTGGAAGTACTTTCTGCCACTAGTCAAGTCGTTGCAGGAACAATCCATCGAATCAAAATAAAAATATCCGAGTCTGATTGTTCTAAAGATGATGAAAAAGATTTCAACGAATGTAATATCCGCGAAGGGGCGTCCCCGAAAATATGTGAGGTAAAAGTTTGGGATAAACCGTGGCAGAATTTCCGACAGTACAATATAACCTGCGAGGGTGAGGACCACCACTACACATTCGAAACAAAACCAGGAAAAGCAAAACGTGATGCCGATTTTGACAATTTATTGGGTCGCGATGATCGAAAGTACCATTTGTCACTCTTCACTGACTTCCTCACGAAGTACAACAAGAAGTACCACAAGAAAGAATACAAATATAGATTTAACGTCTTCGTTCAAAATTTGATGCAAATCCGAGTGCTAAATACCTTTGAACAAGGTACGGCAACGTACGGAATTACGAAATTTGCGGATATGACACAAAAGGAGTTTTCGAGGAGTTTGGGTTTGCGTATGGATTTGAGGAACGAGAATGAGGCTCCGTTTGCACAAGCTAAAATTCCGGATGTTGAACTTCCGACAGAGTTTGATTGGCGAAAGAAGGGAGTTGTGACGGAAGTTAAAAATCAAGAACAATGTGGAAGTTGCTGGGCTTTCAGCGTCACAGGGAATTTGGAAGGGCAGTATGCTTTGAAGCACGGGAAGTTGTTAGAGTTTTCAGAACAGGAGTTGGTGGATTGTGATACCGATGACCAAGGGTGCAATGGAGGGTTGATGGATACAGCTTACAGGTTGGTTGAGAAACAAGCTTCCATTAGCAAAATGTAACTGTTGTTGTTCATATATTGACAAAATATTAGAAGTAATAACCAATCTTTAAAAAAATTAAGGCTACTATTAGCCAAAAAAATTCCATTGTGTTAATTTTTTAATTAGTTAATAACGCAACAGAAAAACAATATATTGCACTCATTACACAATACAATTAAACATGTTTTGGTTCTTTATCTTATTTAAATATCGTATCTGGCTTTTACTTGAAAATTGTAAATGCAATTTCTTAATAAATATTTTAATATCACAATGAAATAAGTAGAAGAGTTAATATTGAAAGGTAAAATAAAATTTGTTGCACAGATCGATTGAGAAAATCGGCGGCTTGGAAACAGAGCAGGACTACCCATATGACGCTGAGGATGAAAAATGCCATTTCAATCGAACCTTAGCACGAGTCCAAGTGACCAGCGCCTTAAACATCAGCCACAACGAGACCGATATGGCAAAGTGGTTGGTGGCCAATGGCCCTATTTCCATCGCAATCAATGCCAATGCTATGCAGTTCTACATGGGCGGAGTCTCGCATCCATTCAAATTTTTGTGTAACCCGAAAAACCTCGACCACGGTGTTTTAATTGTGGGATATGGTGTGCACAGTGAGTATCATTTAGCGTTTTATTAGTTTGGTCTTGATGATATTTCGTTAGATTATCCACTCTTCAAGAAGAGTCTTCCGTATTGGATCGTGAAAAACTCGTGGGGGACAGGATGGGGTGAACAAGGTTACTATAGAGTTTACAGGGGAGATGGTACATGTGGTTTGAACCAGACTCCCTCTAGTGCCATAGTAGCTTAAAAGCTCAAACATATCGCAACTGAACAAATGTGATATTTTTTCTATCTCTGTACTTGCAACAACTTAATTATGGCGGACGTGTAAATAAACAGCAAACACCGCCGTGATATTTTATTGCGAAAATGCTCTCTCCAGTAATTTTTATAGTGATTTATTCAAGCTTTAGTGCTTTTTAATTAATTCTTTTGTTATATATTTTATATTAGACAAATTTATTAACACTTGTTACTATCCAATGGTTTTCTAGTTGTTTTATATCCCTAGAGTGTAATAAACAGTTTAAATGTGATTTTATTTTTACTAATAGTTTTGTAGTTTTAGAAGTAGGCATTTAATTTTACGAGCTTCATAGGCTACAGTTTCTTTACCGTTAGGTATTTCGTTTTCGTCGGATAGAGTTGGATAAGCGGTTGTCCGAATTGTCTTGCCATGTACTAAAATACTAGTATTAGTTCAATACTGTTCGTGCTGTGAAGTCACTTACACTCGCAGGTTTCCAGAAATGAAATACACTCTTGAATAACAGAGTCTCGCAGCACTATCATATGTTTCGCTACATTTTCAATAAGACTGAGGAAACATCTTTTAGTGTAGTACCAAGTATCGGTACCCAATTTCCGATAAGGTTCTAATGATTTCATAACCCGCGATATACCGAACTCATAATTGCCTTTAGAGCAGTATAGAGTACTAAAAATGTTGTTTTACAAACGGATAACTATAACTGCATGCACACCCAATAACTAGATTGACAATGCAGTGGTGAAAATACTTCTTATCCGGTTCTTCAATCGCCATTTGATCTTCCTCTTTCTCAATTTTTCTCATCAGTTCTTCGGCTTCTTCATTTTGCGATGTCATTATGTATGAAACGCATAGATTTGCAAGCACAATCGGGTTCACATTTAAAATCTAAAAAACCAAAATTGCTCATTGTTAACTGACTTTAGAAAATACCTCCGAATAACTTTTTTTGACCAAAGGTTCGTAAAATCCAGTCGCCTCTTTGAATTTATTCTCTTGCATGAAAAGAACATGTGCTACATTCAACCGCCAAATATCATTATCATTACAAAATTCAACACTTTTTCGAAAAATTTTCTCAACTTGCTGATAATTCTCCAAATCCCAGTATATTTTAGCTTGTGCCATCAAAACCGGTATATAGCGGTCGAGACATTCCTCATACTCCATTACTGTTTTTTTGACCATCTCGGTATCATTCCGGTTGCGATGTTCTTGGACTTGTTTTGTCAGTTTTCTCAGTAATTCTGTATGACGGCTTGCTAATTCGTCCAATTTTTGATAAGCCTCGCTCGGTGATGTTTGTTGCGTAATAATGGCATCGAGAAAGTCGTATAAATACTGCAATTATCTCAGTAGAGAAAAAAAAAAACGTAAATAAAGATACCAACAGTAGTTAAGTATTTGTAAGTTAGATCTGCATTTTCAGCCAAGATGTCTGCTGCTAAATCGTAGTACTCATGTTGGCAGTAGAGTAATAGTAGATTAGCAAAAGTTTCAGGAGGGAAAGGGTTTTGTTGAAGCAAAAATTGTAATTTTTCGAAACCTTCGGTCGGATTTTGTTCGAAATTCATCAAAGCTTGGTTGTGTAGAGTAACAGCGTCTAATTCATACTCGGCTCTTGGGGGCATGTCTGTTAGAGCTTCACGAGCTGCATCCACTACAAAATAATTTTTTGATGACAAAAAATTAAATGACAAAAAATTACTATTTTTAAGTTGATATTCAATTGCAGCTTTCAGGTTGAAAGCCTCGGTGAGAGCTGTTTCGTGTAAGGTAAGTGTGTTACCCACTGAACGGACTTCAATGCCTTCTGTTTGCATTCCAATGCTTAGTTCAGGATGGTCTCGTATTCCTCGCTCAATAATATCGGCTATGAATGAAACAAGGTAAATAAAGTGGAGATAAATAAGTGGCAAATACCGCAATACTTGAGTGCTGGACCGTACTCCTTCAACCTGTAATAACATAAAGCGATGTTATAACCCAAGTACGGTTTGAAGCCTTGGTTTTGCAGAGCCGTGAGAAATTTAGCGAGGGCTTCTTCGTAGTTTTCGTCCTAAAACTTTCCTTAAACTCATGTTTATCTTCAATTTTTATAAACCTTATAAAGCAAACATCCAAGATTTACTTCTTTGTCAGGATCTTCGTTTGGACACGCATTTACTAAACTCTTTGCCGATAAAACATCTTCTTGACTATACTTAATAGCAGCTTGAAGTTTCGTAACTTTTCCTTTATAATCCGGATCCTCGACAATCTTTTTAGTTACTTGAAACGACTCGTCGTAGAGACATGCTTGATACAATGATTGCGCATAATACAACTTGTAATCGTTATTTTCCGGGTACATTTGTGTAAGTTGTTCGTAATAACTAGCCGCATTATTGAAGTCTTGAATATAAAAGTAACAATAGGCCAACAATGAGAGTCCGGCTCTGGTTGAATTGGACTCAGGGATGCCATGCAGGATTTTGATAGCATCAGGAAAGCGGTTGTCTTTTATCTAAACTACAAGTTTGAGAGGGTTATAATCTTTTATGGAGGATTTACCAGTGTGTAGACAGTTTTTGTAAAATCCCCATCTTTGATAACATTAGCAGAAAACATTTTTCTAGCTGGCAAGAATTTTGTATACAAAATGTTGTCATGACAACAGAAATATGTGATTGTAAAAAACACAAAAAAAATATTTTGTAAAGATGAAAATAAATATTTTGCAGTCGCCTCTACATTAAAAAAAATTGTGGAATTTACATATATATTTTAAGTAATCAAAATATATTTTTTATATTTTAAATTTTGAAATTCATGACAAGCTTCACCAACCTAACAAAAATAAAAAACTACCCCTAAATTAAATATTTGGTTTTTATGAAGGGAAAGTTACGATAATTTATTGAAAGTGAAAAACAGTCACCTTAAAATTAACTAATCTAAATTTACAACGGAAGCAGATTGAAAACGTTGCCACAATACTAATTAAATAGGGAATTCCTTATTTCCTATTGTAGTTGGTACTAATTTAGTAATATATTGTGAGACATGCGTCAAAAGTTCAAAATTCACTCACATGTCATTTATGTCATTTGAACTTGGTGGAGTTTGGTCACGTCATTGACCGGCTGTTATCGATTGACCCCTAAGGGCGTATTCCCTGCTCCATCATTTGCCCAATTACTCCCTAATTGCACCATAATGGAAGGCAATAAATTGGAGTTATCTGAGAAACCAAGCACCGAACCGCCGGCCACTTACAAGGCAATACCTGAAGCTGATATGGAAGGCATGTTAATTGCATCATACTCTTTCTTTTAAAAATAAAACAAGTTTTCTATTTTCAGAGAACGCCGTTACTCGACCCAAAAGCCTAGTGAAATCGAAGTCGACCAGTCCAGAGGTGGACGGCGCGGACGAGAAGATGCTCCCAAAGGAGGAAGTGGCCGATGCTAAGATTTCGCCCAATGAGAAGCAAAACGGCGATGCAAAACTCGACATTGGTGAGTAAAATCAAAATTTGTACCAGGTCATATTGTCTAATGCGTAATTAAAACGCCAGGCGAACTGAAGACCGCGTTTGTGGGTCTCACTAAAGAAGAGTTGATGAAGTACGCCAACGATCCGTTTTGGGTGCGTTTGCGCTGGTTTTTGTTCATCACATTTTGGATTTTGTGGGGATTGATGCTTCTAGGGGCTGTGATGATTATTCTGGCCGCTCCTAAGTGTAACCCCCCACCGCCACGAACTTGGTAAATAAAGTACCGTTTCTAAACACATTTTCGTAATTTTGGTCAACAGGTGGGAGAAGGGTCCTTTAATTGAGCTAAAAGATGATGCAAACGCTGAAACAATCAACAAAATTAAAGAATTGGGGGTTACAGGAGTTATAGTTTCATGGCCTGAAGACGCTTATTCCGATTTTAATGAAGATCATATTTTTATCAAGTCATTTAAGCAATTCAAGGAAAAGGCAATAAATGTGGTTGTGGAACTTGAGCCTAGTTCCTCCTGGATTTGGTTCAATAAATCTGAAAGTAGGGACATTCTATTCAATGATTACTATATTTGGCGCCAACCGAAAGAGGCTAGTAATGGAGGAGAACCGACACCTCCAAACAATTGGGTAGGTTTGAAACAACAATTGTACACGCATATTAACTAACTTTCCTTGTAACAGCTCACAGTAAAGAATGTGTCATCGTGGAAATATTCTCCAAGTAGAAAAGAATTTTATTATGCACCAATGGAGAAGCCCCATCTTAATTTCCACAACCCCAAAGTAGTTGAGAAGCTTTCTGACGTTATTAAAAAATTTCTGAATTATGGAGCAGGTGGAATTAGGGTTAAAGGGGCTCCTTATCTATTGGTGGATACTAAATTTGAAGACGAACCAATTAAAACCCCTAATCCAACTGGATGTGACTTTAAAGAACACTGTTTTTACACTCACTCAAAGACTGAAAACTTGCTCGAATTGGGGCCACTATTAAAACAATGGAAAGTTATTGTTAAAAACATGACAGAAAATGGACCATTCATGACAGCTGAAGATTTAAGTAATATTGAAGCTTACAAGGTCAACAGCTCATTTGTTGTTGATCTACCTCTTCAGTCCCATTTACTGAATAAGCCAAGTGTCAACATCACTGATGTTGTCCACGTATTAAATACCACATTTAATGCAGATAATATCACTTGGCCGTTATGGAAAGTGAATGCTTCAAGTGAGTGGGATCTTGTCACTTATTTGTTACCTGGTACGCCACTCGTGACGTTGGAATCGGAAAACAACAAAGAGTTGTTGAAGATACGAAATTCACCCTCTATTATGAGGGGCTCCTTTTCATTGCATTTACTCAACAATAAGACTATTTTCGCATTTACAAGGTAAGTAAAATACACACTAATTTCAAAATTAACTTTAAATGAAAACATTTTACTTGCTAACGTGGAATAGGGGGAGGTATGTTAAAGTGACCATTTCTCCTAAACGTCATTGTTCGTGGTCGTGTTTAGTAAGTGATTTTTTTTTCTTTTTTTTGTAGGGTAACAGCAGGCAACCCGGGAATACTGGTAGCCTTAAACCCCTCAGACAACCGCACTGTGGTCGACTTCCCGGCTTATATCAAAGGTCTGTCAGAAGATGTGACTGTTCAATTGTTTAGCGCTAATTATAGCGAACCAAATGTAGCAGTCAGTGTTAAACATGACGCTCATTCTGTGCCTATTTCACCAAAATCATCAATTATAATGTCATATGTTCCGCCATCTAAGTAAGCCTACAACTATTCAGATATAAAGACATTCCCTTGTCTTGGGACAATTATTGTATTGGATTGGACCAAATGGTACAATAAATATACCACAAAACGCAGCATTATGTAGTAGTTTTAATTATCCAGTGTTAGGAAATTTGGGATAAAGAGGGAGCCGCAAGCAGCCTTCTGTGACTGACATTGCAAAGAATAAATTTGTAATACTAAATTTATTATGAACATGAACGTTGGTGTCATATCGAGTGGCTTGAATATAATATAAAAAATAATAAAGAACGCACACTTAAATATCTTATAGTTTAGTTGCTAAGGCACAGACTTTGTTCAAGTTATCCCTCAAAGTCTCCAATTGTCGTTTAGTTTCAAGGTCAAGTTCTGGGATTTGAGAGACACGCAAACCTCTTTGAGGTTGAATAGAGAAAAGACGACCATCTTCAAGAGGAATGTTGATGTTGGCCACATTATCAGTCACTACATTTCCTGTAAGTAGAGGACTACCTTGTAGAGACAGAGCGACTTCTCCTTGCTTGGGCCGGCGCAAAAGCACTTGGGGTGTGTTGGGTTTCACCTATTGCAACATCGTTTTATTTTTCAAAAATAAAAAAATATGTCTTTACCTTTGGTGTTACTGTGCCATAAGTGGTTATAGGAATCCTTTGTGCTGGGGTTTTATACTTGTCTGTCATCTCAGTCGTGTTCTTTTTGCGAACTGATTGAGATCTTGAGATGCGAGTGGTTTTTGGAATTCTGTTTTTTGTTCTTGACTGCCTACCACCTGAAGTACTTTTACTACTTTCAGCTGTAAGGTACCCTAGCAAGCCCCAACCCCAATTAGATGAATGACATGAACATATTTTAGTTACATTTGTATGAAGATTTGAACATTTATAAGAGAAAATTACATTTGCATACAAATGGATGTTAGTAATGACCACAAAAATAAAATTAACTTATTGAGCAAAGAACCGAAAGTTAAGCGTTTTAGCTTTTGTGCACATACAAATATTTTCTTGAATTACTTACCTTCATCGTCACCAAAAGAATTACTTCTAGTTAGGTTATTTTTCATCCCTGTCATTGTCCGTGTTGCATCAAAAATTTGAGTCACAGAAGCACTGGTACTATCCCCAGACCAGCCAACAGGCGATTCCATCTACATATTTGATAATTAAATTAGTACATTATTAATATTTTTACATTACCAACTCTCCCAAAGTCTTGTTCGCCAGATTTTTGGGAATAGATAGTTTACATTTCTTTAACTCGGCCCTTGACTGCATTTTGTGTTTATCCAATTGTTCTTTAAATTTGTCAAGCATGTCATTAACTGAAATTTTAAACTACAGTAAAAAATACGGAAAATGGGTAAACTCTACTAACGCATTTCTGAAAACTTTGACGCAAATTCTTTAGCTTGCTTGGAATCTTCAATCCGCTCCTTCCTAACAACTTTCGTTCGAGGCATCTGTAAGTTGATATTAAATATATAATGATTGTACATTAAAAAGATAGCAATTTTTTGTAGAAGCTTGAAGCTTGGTCAGTCAGGTTCTTGTAAGCTTTTTACAAACCTTTGCCTTATAAAAGGGAATCACTAGTGATATTAAAATTATATGTGTTTTTATTATTAAGTAACTATTTTTTGATATTTAAAACGCAGGTTTCACAGTAATATCCAAAAATAAGTTTCAAGCACAACCACAGGCACAACTCAACTTTAACGAACTTACTGACATTTGAAAATAATATTGAAGTTGTTGCCAACCTTAACGCTCAGCAATGAATATCCCTATAAATAATTTGATGTTAATACTATTATGTACTGTGTAGGGTTTTAGGTAATACAGTTACGCTTGTATTTTTATTTAAATTGTAATTAAATTTAACAAACTCTAAGTAACTAAGTAGTTATTAAGTTATTCAGGGTGTTCAAGGCAGAAGTGATGATGTTGCATCGTTGGATGCCATGTTGATTGTTGACAGGTGTAGTTCTCTGGTGATAACAATAAAATGGCTGTCATCTATTTAGAATTTGAATAAATCCGAAATTTTTAATTTTCCGACCAATATTCACCGTCGATTTTGCATCCCTATCTTTTGCAATGGGAGTTCCAGCATTCTTTCGTTGGCTGAGTCGCAAATATCCTTCTGTCATCGTCCACTGCGTTGAACAAAAAGTGAGGTTAAATTCATCAAGTATAAATTTGAAAGCGTGTTTTTTAGGCTGTTGACGTAAATGGGGTGCGGGTTCCTACAAATTCTGCTGAACCCAATCCTAATGGTGTGGAATTTGACAATTTATACTTGGACATGAACGGAATTATTCACCCGTGCACTCATCCAGAAGACCGACCAGCACCACGCAATGAGGACGAAATGATGGTCGCGATTTTTGAATGCATCGACAGGATTTTCAACATTGTTAGACCTAGAAAACTTTTATACATGGCGATTGACGGAGTTGCTCCACGCGCGAAAATGAACCAACAGAGATCAAGACGTTTTCGCGCCGCCAAAGAAACTGTGGAGAAAATTAACGAAATTAAACGAATTCGGGCAGAATTGTTATTGCGAGGAGCGCAATTGCCGGACGAGAAACCAAAAGAGGAACACTTTGACTCTAATTGTATCACACCAGGGACCCCATTCATGGCGAGACTTTCAAATTGCCTACATTATTACATTCACGAGAGGCTGAATAATGATCCAGGATGGCAAGGAATTAAAGTTATTCTCTCAGATGCCAACGTGCCGGGTGAAGGTGAGCACAAAATTATGGATTTTATTAGACGCCAGAGGGCGCAACCTGACCACGATCCAAACACACAACACTGCCTGTGTGGGGCCGATGCTGACTTAATCATGTTAGGTTTGGCTACACATGAACCTAATTTTACTATAATTAGAGAAGAATTTAAGCCTAACAAGCCTAAACCTTGTGAAATTTGTGGCCAATTGGGGCATGAAATGAAAGATTGTATAGGTGGAGCAGCTAGTGCTGAAAGTGACACACAAAAAGTGTTTGCAGAAACAGACTATATTTTTGTCCGTTTAAACGTTTTAAAAGAGTATCTTGAAAGAGAATTACAAATGCCGAATTTACCATTCAAATATGAGTTTGAACGGGTTTTAGATGATTGGGTTTTTATGTGTTTTTTTGTTGGAAATGATTTTTTGCCGCATTTGCCGAGTCTGGAAATTCGGGAAGGTGCCATTGACCGACTGATCAGATTATATAAAGATTGCGTCTATAAAACAGGGGTAAGTTGCAAATGATTCAGTATTAAGTTTTTCACTGTTGATATTGCAGGGCTGGTTGACAAATAGCGGTGATGTCAACTTGGAACGCGTTCAATTAATTATGAACGAATTAGGCAAAGCTGAAGATGAAATTTTCAAAACTCGTCAGCAAAAAGAATTGCAATTTAAAGCAAGAGAGAAGGCGAAACGACGGAGAAGTGAAGGTTATAATCAGTATAAACCTAACTGGAACTTGGTTAAAAACACGCAGTTTGCTCCCACTGTATGTTTTCTGAATTATTGACTTATCAAATTTTTATTTAAATTGGCTTTTTTAGGCTTTAGGACAGGTAAAGCCGGTAGTAAACGCTCGTCAGGAAGCGTTTGAAATACGAAAAGCCGGAATGCACACTCAAAATTCGGCGTTAGAATCGATGTTAACACCTGTAGGTGGTCAGTCAAGTAGTCGTGGTCAAAAGCGTCCGCATGACGACGACGATGATAGTGACGATGACCAAGCTCATGACGAAGTGAGATTGTGGGAAGATGGGTTCAAGGATCGTTATTACGAATCTAAATTTGACGTTAATTCTAATAATTTAGATTTTCGGTATTTCATAAACTATTGATTTATTGCAATTTAGTTTTTGATAATTTTTTTGTAGAAATAACGTGGCGCTACATTACGTGAGGGGGTTGTGTTGGGTTTTGCGGTACTATTACCAGGGGTGTGCTTCATGGAAGTGGTATTATCCATACCATTATGCTCCATTTGCTTCAGATTTTGTTCACATTGCAGGCTTGAGTACTGAATTTGAAGAAGATTCGGAACCTGTAATGAATTAATGTTTTCACAGTTCATTGTAATAACAGTGTAATTTCAGTTCCGACCTCTAGAACAATTAATGGGTGTTTTTCCGGCCGCTAGTAGTAAACATGTACCCCAACCATGGGCAAAATTAATGTCAGATCCTGTAGGTACTCTAATTTTTAATTAAAACATTCCTAAATTTTTACTTTAGGAATCACCGATTATTGATTTTTATCCTGAGGATTTTAAAATCGATTTAAATGGGAAAAAATTCGCATGGCAAGGAGTTGCGTTATTGCCGTTTGTTAACGAGGATAGGTTATTTAAGGCTTTAGCTCCATATTATAAAGATTTATCACCTGAGGAAATTAAGAGGAATGTGCGTGGAGATGATCGATTGTATGTTGGGGCCAAAAACGCCGGTTATAATCAAATAAGGCAGTTGTATGTACAAAAAATTAGTGTGAAAATGGAAGTCCACGTTTCCATACAGGGAATGCAAGGAACTGTGCTTTTGTCAGATGAATGCGTCGACTATGGAGGGTAAGTAATCAATTTTTGAATTACCGTTATAAAGTCGATATGTAGCAAATAACACATGATTGAAATTTGTAAAATCGAGATTTCACTATCAATCGCGACTGTTATTTGCGTATCGACAATGTGTTTGGCAAAATTATTTAAAAATCATGTCAAACTTGACTCAAATAGCCTTTTGAATGTGCTGTTTGTGTAACAACATGCGGAACAACGTTCGTTAACCCATCCGTTGAATTTTAATTAGATTTTAATTACATATTAATTTTAATTTCTACCTAGGCCGAAATTTCAAAGATGCGCGGTTCGCAATTGCATAGCAGCAACCAATGACACTGCTAAATTTGCGCCGGCTGACGCCTCAGGTCACAAACGCACTTGCAAAATGACAGTTTCTGGCCTTGTAATACAAATAACTATTGTTTGTTTGTCAATAACGCTAAATAATGTTTTGGAAACATCCCAGAGTTGTCTTAATTTTGTAAGAAATCAGGGGAAATTAATTTATTTAAATTAAAAAAAAGTTAGGATCGTGCTAAAAACGCTGTAAGTAAGGAGTAAGTTAAGGAGTACCGATCCCCTTAGCTTCGCTTCTCCTCCAAATAATTGTCTTCGATCATAAAAAGTCTTTACCGTTTTTGATACTCAATATACTATAATTAGTGTTTAAAACATGCGATACAATATTTATGTAATTAGAAAAATAAATAAAGAAATTTTTATTTACAAATAACAGAATAGTTTGTAATAAACAATATTTTGAATTTGTTTTTTTATATTTTTTTAGTTATTTGGATTCTCCAATCTGCGGTTTAGACGACATCATGAACAACATGGTGTCTTGTGTGAAATACCGCGATCCAAAATATGATTCAGGCTTCGTATTTCTAGCTAAGAGACTAAAAGGAGCGATCGATCCGCCTCGAGTTTTAAAACCAACCGATTTAGACTTTGAAGCAAGCAGAAACTGGAGACCTATCATCGGAATGGTGCCATCAACAACACGGTAAAGCTCATTTAAATTTCAGGAATAAAAAATTTAACCTCTATGATTTAGAGCCACTTTAGGCGAGGCTGGACACAGGATGGTGGGTCATCATTTTCCCAAATCGGGGCCAGGTCCGTACTCGCAAATCCCTCCGCCGTCTAATCTGGACAGAAGGAATAATTATTACCAAAATCGCGGCAATAATTATGGTAAGTACTTTTTGATTTGATTGCTTTAAATAAGGGTCACTGGATCGGATTTTGACAATTGATATTGCGAGAAATCCTCACGGCGCTCTGTTGTTGACGGCGGAACAATGGCGGTGAGGGTGGACGGGAGAAGGGTCAATTGTTTGTTTTAATAGGTGATTGGAGGCACGCGTCGTGTCTAGCACGTGACCCTTTCGTACGTTCATTATTATACGATTGCAATTAAATCGGTTTTAAGTCAGTGCACACTGCACTAGCGACCGTTATTGCCCAAATCGGCTAGTCGTCGGCGTTTGTTTATTCGTCTAACCAATAAAAGTTACGGTGGGGGAACGGTGGCATAATTGAAATGTTTACCGGGGTTGTAGGTGTAACTATCTAGTTGTGGTTTATAAACAAGTTTGAGAATTCGTTAACTATTATTATTATTAATAATTTTGAATATTAGAAGTACTCACTTATAAGATGTTTAACGCTTATTTTTTTTCTGTAACGTGCTTTACGTCAGGTTTTAAAATCTAAATTTTGTGTTTTTAATAAAGTTGTTTCTTACAGTCTGTAACATTTAAAATTATTGCATTATTAGGACTGAGTTTTTTGTTTTCACCACTAATAAATAGTTAAATGTTTAAAAAATTCGAATTTTTTTTAGAATACAGATCTATTATTTCATTTTACGTTTAAAATGTGTTCAAATTATTAAATATAACTATTTATTACGTCAGAATATTAGACTTTTTACCAAAATAATTTCATTTGTATTAAAACCTAAAATAGTACAGTAGATATATTTTTTTCTAAATACAGGTGTTTCATAACTCGCGCCCCAGAAAAAAATTTCAAGTAAGATAATATACCAGAAATATGGAAAAAAATGTTTAAAACGTAGTTATAATTTAGGATACAGCTTCTTTGTTCCCTCTTCTAATGGTCTGCAGTAAAAAAAACATGTAAAATCATTTTTCTTACAGAAGTAAATAGGGTCAAAGTGCAAAATTTAAACCCTCATAATTTGGAAATTTTTATAGATAGAATTTTTTTAATCATTTTTCTTATGTTCCTGGAATCTTAATTTACTTGGAATTTTTCTCTGGGGCGAGAGTTCTGAAACACCCGTATGCATTTAAATAATGTGATTAATAATTACAGAAGATTTGTTTAGTTTAATAATTTGGTAAATTAATATGTTTTATGTTTTAATGCACTAGTAATGTTAGTTATACGTATGATTTAAATTGAGAGTTTTTTTCCAAAAACTACCGTAAATCGGTATATTTAACCCACAACGATACCTGTGCATCAACACGAGCGCGGTCAGGCCCTTCTTAATATTCCAGAAAAGATTTCATATTTCATATTGTGTAGAAAATATTTCAAATACCAAAAAGTTAGTTTTCATTATACCTTAAGACAACATATTTATAATAAGTGTTTTTTGTATTATAAGTTAAAAGAAATTAGGCATAATATACAGGGTTCGCCAGAACTCGCGCCCCAGATAAAAATTCCATGTAAGGTAAGATACCAGGAACATAGAAAAAATGTTGAAAAAAATCTATCTATAAAAATTTCAGAGGAGCAAACAAGGACGCTGTGTTCTAAATTGTAACTCTGTTTAATGTTAATTGTGGCTATTATTAGCAAAATTTTTGTACCTTTACTAAGTAATTATAAAATTAAAGATATACAAGATCAACAGTATCATTAAATAGACATGAAAAAATGTCAAACGTCAAAAAATAAATATCAACATTTTTTGACAGATAGAATTTTTTAAACATTTTTCCATGTTCCTGGTATCTTATCCTACTTGAAATTTTTCTCTTGGGCGCGAGTTCTGACACACCTTGTAGGTACATGGATATACATAGAATTCCAAAATGTACCAATAAAATGTTTGACAAAAGAGTCTATGCTGGAATTAATTATTAATTAATATCCAAACATTTATATTCACAATTAAAAATATTGTTCGTGTTTTTGCCAATATCTGATGCGTCGTCTTATGTTAAAAACATTAATTTTTCAGTTCCAATTATTTTGTGTAAATATCCAATTATTTTGTGTAAATATTCGACATCTATTGATCAGAACTTTATGATATATCCCATCGCCGTCTCGATAGAAATAATCCTTTTCTCGCCTGGGAATTTTTTGAGTTCAACTGATTTCCGTTGGCGCTTTAATCTGGGAATTTTTTTTGACATATCCAGTTTTTTAGCTTAAAGGGTTCAACCTCATAATATCAATTCTCCCTGGCGTATCTGGTTTTGTTGTATCCTTCCTTCCCAGCTTTTATTAATTGTGTTATTTTTTGTTAATAATTCAAAATCATTCAGTTTTTCTTTAGTAACCCCCGTAACTAAGAAAAAATCGGAATCACTGCTTCAATGCATTTTTCACGAAATGCCCAGGCGGGATATTGATACATTTGCTTAAGGAGGCGGTGATATATCCAATTACATAGATACTTTGAAAAGCCAAAAGTACACACCTGAGCGAGTATGACCAAAATACGTCTGGAACGAGTCCACTTGAAAAAAAAAAGGGAAGTAGTGTAGATTCTCTTTATATTATTGCAATATATGAAAAGGGACTAAAATAAAGGACGCCATTTGAAAGCTGTTGTATTTAAACTGCAATGTTAAACTTACAATGTTTTTCCGTAAATGATACAGTGACACATATTGAATAAAATTATTTTGTTACGCTTCTGATGCACGTTCTCTCCTTATGTTTGTGTACAATTTGGCCCCGTCCAGATGTGTACTTTTGGCTACCTTTAATGAACGAAATATCTGATAACAAGTTAAAATTCTGATGGAAGCATTTAAAAGTGTGCCACAGTCGTCTAATTTATCCAGCTGTTTTCTTTAATTTTGTGTTATCTAGTATCTAAGCTGTTTTATTTGTTTGAATTATCGGAGATTTAAAGCGCATCGAAATAATGCATTTTTATGAATGCTGCTTTCATATCACTATTGAATATTATGCGTTGTGTGTGTGATGTTATCGCGTTTCATATTTTAATCGGCTCGCTCGGTCATAATTCGTGGTTCCGCGGTGCCGGCGCATCGTTCGCCCTGAAAACAAGCAATTTGTCGAGCATTGTGCCCTTGTTTGTGGGTGTGACGCAACAATGACACCGTTCTGCCGGCGGCAGAGCGCGTAATTGAAGCTTTTGTGCGGCCGTCAGCACCACTGACACGCCTAATTTGACAATCACCACAACGCCACCGCCCCTAATGCGAAAATAGTTTCGGTTGGCGTCTAGTTTTCCACCGACGGAGATTTTCTAAATTGAACGATTGTCCGGCCGATTGTGAGCAAGATTATTCCGGGCCGCACCGGAGCGGAAAATTCGCGAATTTCCAACACACGTCGGGCCCGAGGAAGGCAATCAACGTGTGCGGTCGAGGGGGTGATTTGATCAAAGGGAAGATACGGTCAAGTAAATTCCGGACTTGATGAAATTTTCGCGGCGAAAGAGTTTATTAGTGCATGAGAATCAATTGCAGGTCACAGTCAAGGAGGGTACTCGAGTTTCAATCAGGGGCACAACTCCAGGGGGTACCATAGTGGGTACGACACGGGGTACAACCAAAGGTACAACCGGAACAACTACCAAAATCGAAGCTACAACCCTGAAAGGAATGATCCAAACAGAAGACCTCCAGGTCCTTACAGAGATGGATATCAGGCTTCTAGCTCTAACCCTAACACAAATAGATACAGTTACAGGAGGTAGAAATTATTATTTCTGCGTACTTTACATTTATACGATTATACAATTTTTCAATTAGTTGAAAGAAATATCTATTGACTATCTATTGCGTTATTCTAATCTACATTTTGTATAAATATGGTTTTGTACCTTTCTAGTAAAGGCTTAAGGACAAGAATCGTTGTAGTTTAAAAAGTATGAAATAAAAAAAATGATTTCGATTTGGTTGTTTTAATTCGTTATAAAAATTGCATGGTTGCAGAAGAATAGTGGCACTTCCGCTACCGTTGGATCTGATGAAAGAGAAATGAAGGGGTAGGAAGGGGGTTTCGATTTAAGGACTCTTGTCTCAGAAACAAGAGTTCCATGCTAAGAGTGCTTACTCATTGTACGCTTATGGTAATGCGCTTTGTGCGCCACTAAATATTGCAGTTGTAAGCACGTTTTTGACTTTTCGCCTTAGTGCATTTATGCAAAAATAGGCGTTGTGCTGGGTTTGGTCTTTTGATGAAAAAGGGGCAAATTTTTTTGTTGTTACAATTTTAAATCGGTTTCTAGTAGTAAATAAGTTTTGTTTACACAAGATTTGTAATAATTGCATGTCAAAGATCATATAAGCAACTGCAAAAAATTGTTATGGACCTGCAATTACAAAAGTTTGAACAATTTGATGATAAATCAAACTGGAACGGTTGGTGGCTTTATCCTAACTTTAGAATCCGTGGATATTAAAGCCGTGCGCATTTATCAAGGGCCGTCCAGATCCAGGTGACAGCCATTAGCAACATACAATACAGGAATAAATAGTGCATTAGGGCTTTTATGGCGATAAGTACGCGTTATTTTTTAGATTGTCTAGTGTTCGGGTGCAGACAATGGCAAGCGTGGAGTGCAAGAAGGGCCGTTGGTAGTGCTGGCACAATGCCCACTTGAGTTGCATGTAGCTGTAGGTAGCTAAGGAGAGCGGCCACTTGAACTCCTGATGCAGGGTTGTATTCGATGGGGCTGCGTTCTTTCTGTGTGTGGAAAAAATAAATTTTATCGCAACGAATACCGAATATTGCAAATTCGATTTCTGGATCGCGGACGGGATGAGCACGAATAAAAGACGTCACGCGGTTTCCTTTGGGGTGGCATTAAAGATCTCCTGCGGTGGTCCGCGCTCCCACACGACGCAGCGAGCTGCGAACAACGCATTCCCATGCATATGTGGACTTTTTCGATTATTTGGACGCATTCACATGTGATGTGACTTTGCGCCGGAAGCGATCGAGCGAAATGGCGCTTTCTCAGGCACGGGGGGCCAACGATTTTACAATTTGATAAAGTTTATTCGGAATTGGTCAAATTATTTACTTCATGGGAATTACCACTAATTTACTTGAAGAAAAGATGAACCGAAATCTAGGAATAATGGAGTAACATTGAGTAAACGGTTGTAATTCTTCTTGTGTGTGTTATACTAAATGTTATGTTTTATAAATCTGTGTTATTACGTATTAATTGTAATAATTATTGTTACACACTAAACACCTCTCACAATTTTCAAATTAAGACATCACGACGATTTATACTTGAAATTTTATTAACCATCAACATTGAATCTAAAAGGATGAGAATAAAATTTAAAATAAATTAATACACATTAAAAACTGCAGTCAATAACATCTTTCTTATAATTTTTGTAATGTGTCTGTCGAAAGTTTCTGTAAAAAATTAAAATTAAAGAACTGAATAAATTACGCATCCGACGCTTCAATAACGCACCCTTAAAACTATGGTGACAAGTTTAGGGTCAATAAAACTAATTTTATTTAAATCTAATATTTAAATACCATTCAAATTATTTGTTTTTAGATGACTGTGAAATTCTAAATAAGTAGGTGTGTATATTGAACTGAATTCTAGAACATCAGATGCAGAATTTTTATTTTTGGGGTTTAGCTCTGCTTGATCAAAGACTAATTTTAGTACATAATGAAAAATCAAGTATGCTTTGGAAATGTTTTAAAAAAAATTTCTGCAGAGTAAAGTGCCTTTTATGTGGCAAACACGACAAAAAGTTATTAAGAAGAAGAAGAATTTTAAGAATTTTATTGAGTCCGGAAAAGACTTATTTTAGGGACTCAAATGAGTCCGCAAAGTAGCTATTTTTGGGAGCGTATACAAAAAAAGTTATTTAGTAGTATTAATGTATGTGTAAAATAATTTTTATCTTACAGGTTGAGTTTTTGAGCTACCTTAGACCATTGTTTTCGGTGATAGAAATCAAATATTATTCACAAGTGAGATAAAGTACTCACAAGTGAGTAAATTTGACTACTATATTATATTTACTATTATATTTTTATAGGTGAATACTTTACTTGCATGAAACTTCATTTTTTGGATAGTTGCACCTGTAAGGTAAAACGTAGTATATCACACGTGATCGAAATGCCATTATGAAACTCGTGAGAAGTGTCCCACTCGTGCGCAACCGCACTCGTCGGTCAAAATTCTCACTGGCGTATAATGATGCATTTCTTCTTATAATACATAATGCATTTCACTTATAAGATAATGTACTAATTTATAATAAAAAAAAACTATTAGAAATAAAATTTTTGGATTTGTAAAATAAATATAACAAAAAATTAAAAATTATAGTTGGCCGATGATTTTGAAATTTGGTATAGAGACCTAGATGTTGACTCTAAACAACTTTTTTTAATTACTTTCTGTTGTATTTACCACATAAAAGGCACTTTACTCTTCAGTAAAATAACTTTTTTTAAAAAATTTCTAAGACACACTTGATTTTCTAATACTAAAATTATGTTGGAAATTAGTCTATAAATAAGCAAGGCAGGATTACAAGAGTCGTTTTACCTATCGAGGGACACACTGTATATTTTTTTGGGAAAATTTATTATGTTCGTAATGGGTTGATTGGGACAAATTAGTATTGCTAAACTACATATAAAAACATTGAAATAGTAGGCATAGTATTGTTTGTTCACATTTTTATGTTAGGGATTTAAAATTTCGGGCAGTATTGTCATTTTCATAATAAAAACTCTTGGCATGTTTATGACATTTTGACTTATTTACTTTTAAAAATAGTGATTTGTGGCATAATAATGGGTAGGCAACAGATCCAAGCGATGATTTAATTACACTTACTTTAATTAATAAGTTTCCTAAAGCAGACAAATTGTTTAATTAACAATTTTAACAACAAAAAAAAAGTTTAATTGTCAAATGTCAGTCATGATGATAGTAAAAGGTAGTTTACAGTGAACTTTTTAAAATGACAGAAAAATACTGCCCGAAATTTTAATTTCGCAACTGTACCTACGAAGTCATCTAGAAAAACTGTCTTTTGGTAACAAATTTGAAAGTATTTTTGTTAATAATTTTCAACACTGCATCCTGATACGGTTTTACAAATAGTTGACGTTCAGCTCCTCAAGATTGTTGTTAATCAGAAGCGTCTTCCAATGGTATCAGAATTGCCAACAGATTCATACATTCTGGATCACTTTGGATTTCTGTTCTTAGATCCAAAAGATTTCTTTTTAAGGTTAAATGGGATTTATGGGAGCTAAGTATTCGAAACAATTTGTTCTAACTTTGGTAATATTATCGTTACAATGATTAAAATTTTAATTTCAAAATTATTAAGCTTGTAAACTCGAATTTAATAATATAAAATTTTATGAATCCGCCATGCCGTGATATTGTTTTATAAATAATGAGCAAGGGGCATTTGTGGCGAATATCTATGTCGTTGAAATTTGTGTTGAAGTGAGGAGATTACAAATCGCCTTTTAATTATCACTAAACAAAAATTTGTACATAATGGAATGAAAATAGGTTATGCAGCTTCATAAAGATTTTTTTTAATTATCACGTTTCTAGGTATGAGTGTATTTCTACATTTTTACGGTAATCTTTTTCTTGAAATTCATAGCGTTAAGAAATAAAAAATTGTGCGAAATTCAATTTTATTGTTTTAATAATTATCAGTCCGTAAAGACAATTTTAATCGTTATTTCTCTATTAGTGCCGTGGAGCGTTCTGACGTAATTCTTTGCTTCATAACAGTTTTATTCTCATCTGGCATTTATCCGGTGACGTGCTGTCAGCTAGACAATAAAGCGATCGTCTTCATAACTGGAGGCGCCTTCGTGTCCAATTCGAATCGCTAATTGCCGGAGAAGGCCTCATTCACCACCATCCTGCTTCGTCATCCTGTAGGTGTTAGCGTCCTAAGACAAAACGTCGATTGTGGAGGGTCCGAAAGTATCGAGCTGGTGGCGACACTGTGTCGGATGTGTATTGATAGCACCATAAAATGCTGTCCGGCCTCCTGATTGTGACAGTCGAGATTTATCCGACTTTATGTGTGGCGGTGAAACCGCCCACAAAAACGGTCCCCAAAAATACTAATTGTAATTAAAGCCGAAGAAGCTCACATGACAAATGGATGGAATGTAATAATGTAGTGTAGCCGATTGAGGGTGGCAGAGCTGCCGGGGCGTCGGGACGCCACTTGACCTAAGCTTCTGATGGTTACTTGGCAACAATTAATCACATCGTATCGTTAGCGTCGGCTTACATGGATCGGGATTTTATTATGTCGAGGCATCGCGAATTATTGACTACAGAAGGGGGTGGAGGCGCGAGGGGTCGCTAAAACAATCTCTGGAGCTTTCGCAGGTTCAGCATAATCGGTGCTCGCCACCCTAGATAATCCTCTCAATATTAGACTTACCTGTTTATACGCTCAATTTGCTAATACGAAGGATACTGACTCACCCTCGAAAAGGGATTTTTGAGCCTGGACGAATATTGCAGCAAATTTTTGCAATTTGGTAAAAACATTATTGATATTGTTTTTTAAATAGAATTTTTGTGAGATTAAGTGACATTTACATAATTTTTTTTCTAAATATACAATTATAGTATATTATATAAAAAGCACATAATGGAGTAAATGGGGGATTGAATGATATAATTCAAGAGGATGAAGTTTATGCACGAGTCAACGGCGAGTAAATCATTTGAGTTACTGTAAGAGACCGCTTAATAAACGCCTGGCTCAATACAAGACAATATCTACCTACTTACATATTTTACCCAAAAAAATTAATATCTTACATACAGGGTGTCATATACAGGTTGTTTCACATAATGTTACGAGGCTTGTGCCTCGTAAGATGCAATCAATAATACATATTCTGATACGAACTCGATTACAAAAAAATCGGATAATCTTCTCTAGTTTGTTCACCCTTTCAAAAATTACAATGTTTTTAGTTAGTTAGTGATTAAGATAGATAAACTAGAATCATAATCATGCCGTCTCTTTATAGAACAAATGATAATTGTTTCTGAAAAATTGCAGTTTAAGACTACTAACGAAACAGTGATTAGTTTGACAACTATACTGTCATGGGTTTCCAAAAATTAAATAATTAAATGTGTTTTTTTGTGTCCAGTGTTTTGTGACTTTTGTATATTTGGGTGCGTACATTAGGCGCAAACCTCGTAAAGTTGTGTGAAACACCCTGTATGATAAAGACCCTAACCGATTTTCAGACGCAAGCCAAAATACATTCTCAGATACCACTATGCGTTAATTGATGTTCGGTTTGAATTTTTTCAAAGATATAAACATAGATACCTGTGATAGCAATTTTAAGAAATTGGAATCCTACGGTGTACCTTTGACGGTACAGATTCAGCCGCAGCATTTTGTGGCATTCTCCATTTATCAAAATTATGTCAGTTTTTTCGTCGTTTGAGTACATTTTTAATTCAAGGGAAAAAGAAAGTGAAATTTTTGATACTGTCAAATTTAACTAATGACATATCAACAGTTACTTTGATTTGAATACAATAAACTTAATGTTTCAAACGTAAAAAGCAAAGTTGACTCTGAGAATGTATTTTGGGTTGCGTCTAAAAATCGGTTAGGGTCTTTATTATAAGTGACTCAGCCTGTATGCAATTTTCTCAGTTCAATGGTAGCAAATTTAAACTTATTATTTACACAACTAATATGATGTATAACTCAAATTATACTGATCCCCAAAAAAGGAAAACAATTAAAAGGTACGAACTTAAAATTTTGGTGGTATGTACTCCCCAAGTGAAAGAATGAAAGAATGAATGATTAAAATTGTATCATGAACAGTGAACGTCTTGGATGTTCACCCCTTCTGGGCAGAGGCTTTTTTTGACGATTATTGTATAATCTAAAAGCAGTCTTCTATTCAAACTTGATCAGATGTATAATTTATCTCTCTTCCCGCATCGGGGAAATATGATGGACCACTTTTATTGCAGATTATTTTTTTATGTAGTTGAAAGAGTGTGTCTTTTATGTTGTTACTTTTTACTTTTTTAAGTTGTCAAAGCTATGTGGTTTCAACTGAAATAAAGATAATAATTTTACAGCAGGTTTGTCAAAATGTGCTCCATTGCTTCTGGACTTATCCTACCTAATGTGTATGTACCTAATTTCCAGTTGGAATTATGTTCTTGTTGAAATAAAAATTTTCTACTGTGGATTATGAAAAGATGAAACCTATTAAAAAATTCATAGTCACATTTTTTTAGGTCATTTTTGGCTCTGTTTTTGTCATTGCTGCTGAAGGCAGTATCATACCATAAATGTTCATGATGTTGATATTCGCTTTTGTAATTTACTAAAATTAACTTGTGTTTAAATAAATTAAGGCCAAAATGCCAATGCATTAACCAACGAGTCGTATATGGTTAAATTTAACCATAAGTTTTATTCCAAATTTGCTGTTAACTTTAAGTGAATACAAATATCAAGATTATGGACATTTATGATATTAATACAGCAGAGATGACGAATGTTATAGAAAGCTAAAAATTACCTAAAAATATGAACAGAATAAAGTTTTTATCTGCATCTATGTGCATTTTTACGTGTACTTTCTCAAATCCAATTTTTTGTTCTACATTATTTATATGTATAAAACTGTAAAAATTGATCATAAATGGGGTAATTTATTTATTTTTTCTATTTTTCTTTCAAGTTGCGAAAGAATATTTTGATCAAGAATTTGATTTCCGCATTTTTAAAGCTATAGTTAAAATTGACGCTTCGGTAATAAAACGCCGTCGGAAACGCATTGGCACGTCTGTCAGGGTCGATGTGAGGGCGCATTCAAATGCACCCCTTTACTTGATCGTTGTCGTATTCTATCGCCTTGAGATGTAGGGGTGAAAGCAATGAATATTATATTAACAAACTTCCCATCACTGCAAATTTGTTTATTGTCACAACCACCCGACAATTACATCCCCATGCAAAAGACTTGATCTTGAGCATCACCCCAACATTTAGTTTTCTATGCCTATAGTAGCTATAGCACAGAAGAAAGTTAGGGGAAGAAATTTTTGGAGTTTTAGTAGAATTTTTGTTTATTTAATTGTTTGGATTCATATATTCACTATCGATGTACCATGCTACGTAAATTGCGGCAAAAGAAAATGGAAAAATTATTATGAAAGGAGGAGCACAGCGACAATTGGCAATTTGTCAGCAATTAAAACAAGAGATCATTAAATCAGTGGCGGTGGTGAGTCGCTTTTGTTAGGTCACGTATGACCCCTTGTGTATAGGGCTGGACCCCTCCTCGATCCCTCGTCCTTATCTGCTCTTTAGCATGGCGTGCTTTCCTCTTCACAGCGGCGTCCCCAAGTTTAAAATTTTTCTATACATATTTTTAGAGGGAAATGATGTCAAAAGAATAAATTTAAAAATTATTTTGGAAATGCTCTTGATGTATTCGTATACCCTTTAGATTGTGTTTTCGTTTTTTTTAAACACAGTTTTGTTTTAGGTATTCTTTAAGTTAAAGTCTGTTTTTTTTAATGGAAATGCCAAACAGTTTTAAGGTTGGCACCACTAGTAAATTCATTCATGATAAATTTAATAACGGAAGTTGACAGTTCCGGTTTTTTGAATTAATTTGAAAACAATGTCATTAAACGTCAACACAAAAACACCAAAAAAGGAACAAAACCGGTACCCCTGACAGTTTTTAGAAATTTGGAAACGAATACTTTGCAAGCAGGAAGTTATAAAAAGGGCCTGTTAAAATGTAGACACAATTTGTAATGCAAGTTTGCTAAACATTCTCAATTTTTAGCAAGAAATTGACAAAAATACAAAATAAACATGAATGAGAAAGAACCTCAGAAAGAATGCAATGAAATTAGTGTCTTGTGCATCGTTTTTTGAGGAACGAGTTGAAAAAGTAACAATTTTGAAACTAAAGCTGAAGAATTTATAAAATGTATCACCTTTGAGCTCATTTCAATAAATTACACAAAATTTATTGTCAATCATCATAATATCTACTTGTATCTTTCGCTAAATAACTTTTTTCTGTATGTACATCCTTTTTTTTTGTAGTTTTTGTAGCAAGAAACTCATTTTTGTCCACAACATTGTACTTACTTGCAGTGTGTTTTATAGCACTGAATTCTGTCTTAGGTAATGATGCCTGTCCACAGGTATTTAATTATAGCGCTTTCAAAGAGCAAACAGGGACACAAGATTAATAAAAGTCAAAATTTTGACAACATCTCAATTTGAAAACATAACCATAATTTTTTAACAAAATTTCTAGGGACAAAAACAAAGAGCAATCAAAATTGTGGTTATGGAGACAAGTTACTACCAATTTTTTCACCAAAATTTTGACTTAAAATAGTAATTTCCATTTAAAGAAAAAACAGACTTTACGTACTCTAAAATCGTAAATTGACTAGTTTATATTTTAGCCAATTAAAAAGATTGACAAAAGTTCTTCAAAAATATTTCTTCTATTGTAAACAAACCTGACACCTGTCATTCCACTTTCCACATTCCTAATCTCACAAGACACTCATTTACTAAAGAATAATAAAATGACATTAATGCGTTTACAACCGCGGCTAATAACACATCCCGCCCAAATTCCACGCTTTCATTGTTTGAAAATTGGCCAAGATTTTCCAGCGGGTGGTCGCCACTCACCAATTCGAGATACCATAATTGAATTAATTATGACTTTTCTAACGGACCTGCACACATTTTAATTTTCTAATATTAACTGACACCTCCAACAATAGAATCGTTTAATGCCCAATGCGACGGCCCTGGCTCGTGTAAACACACCCTTAAGACCTGTCAACTCTGTTGACGTCTATTGTCATCACCAGTTAAACATCTCGCAGTGGACCAAAGCAGTTTTCGAGATGTGTATGAAATTTAATGAACGAATTTTTTCAAGTCATGCTTCTTCGTGGGTGGCTATTGGACCATGGGTGGTACTTTTACCCAATGGGAGGAAAGGTGGCGCTATTAACGAGGAATTTTCCATGTGTAGGCACTACCGACATTGTTCTCCTGTCAATCAGCACAAATGGTGCAATAGGAAATAATGACAGGTTGGCAATGCACGCCACTGCTTTTCTAAGGTTGTTTTATTTTTAATCAGTGAAGCCACTTTGATACGCCACTGTCTCAAATCAAGGGTAATTAAAACGTCAAGATTCCTAATGCTTTATACATTTTTATTGACGAGGAATTTAAAAACACAGTTACATGACATGACGGTGCATTTTCCATTATAACCCTAAGAATCTGTACATACGAGTGACTTTTTTACATCACTACATTTATAAATATTACCTAATATTTACATAAAACGTGTATTTTGTTTGTACAATCAATAACAATAAATTGTACACCTAATGTACAGTCTACATTGCAAGTAATCGTGCGTTGTCCGGTCCTCAATTGCACGGATTATTGCAAATTTTGGGGGGAATCGAGAAACACCCTGTATATAATACACCACACACACTCAGCAATCACCGGATTAGTAAGGAACAGGACGAGATATTATCCAAAAATTCGACTACAGTATGATTAAGTATCGCTCAATTTTTTATTCACGGTGTCACTACCACGCCCTTGTTTGAAGGGGCAGATAAGTCCCACATTGTTGTTGGTAGTTGTTCTGTTGTCGGTATGCCATGGCCAAACTTCCGTTGCCCATACATTGGGCCTGTTGTTGGGGTTGGCACACGGGGGATTGTTGGGTGCGTGATGTGTCGGAGGAGGTCGCCGAAGAGGTTTGGGTACTCCCCGAGCCGGCGGAACAGGGCTTACCGTCTTTGACCAACACGGGCACAGCCACCCGACGGGGCGAACTGGAGGACTGAAACAAAAGGAAGAGTAAATAAATAATGTCTAAAGGTCCGATAGCAATTTTAAAGATTTTACATAATTCTACAAAAAGTAGGAAGTTTACCTACAAACAAGTGAGTTTTAAACATTTTCTTAAATGTCATCTAAACATTTTTTTTTTTAGATTGAAATGCGGAATTGTGGGAAGGTTATATGATTTTGTCTAACTTTACTTGAATTTTTTTTTTATATAAATTGTGTAGGTAAAGTAAAGTTGAGTTTGTAAGTGCTCTTTGAAGTTTGAAAATTTGCTTTTTGCGGCAACAATTTTCCAAATTCAGCTTTTTTCAGCGCTGAGCGATTCGCCCACCGCCCCTTAGTTTTTGTCTATCTCGTCGATAAACCGTCCTGCCGACCTCTTGAAAACACACGCAGCACGCAGTTTGAAGTGGCCACGTCACGACCCTCGCCCTTCACTCGGAACCGTCACTCCTGAACTGTATATAACCACCATCCACGGGGTCATCTCTCTCGTTTTTACCCAATTCTGCGTGGATTTTATTGATTGACGCGTCCTCGACAAATTTGTTTCCATTGTCACCTCATTACAATTTGATTGGCAACCCAAATATTGCAAATGATTGAGAGCTGAAAAAATTCGTGATGTTGGGTCAAGATGGCGTGATACAGCTCGCGACGGCATTAATAGATCACTCAATCATCGTTAATTCAATCAGATGACAGACATTAACGTCTCTTCATTCGTCAGCTTCCGACGGAAGTTGATGTTTGTTTTATTGGTGGTTGTCATACGAAAAATTAAATGATTTGGGACGCCGGTCGAAGAATTTAGAAAAAAAAATGACTCGGACATTTGCCTGATTAAAAATCGTTTTTTTTTTAATGCACCATTGTTATTTTCAGCCGCTACACAAGCTGCCGTTATACATAATAATAAGCCGTAATTTACCTATCGTACTTAAAGACAAAGACAAGATGTCCATGGTGAATAAGCAATAAAATAATAACACTTTTCTTAGAATATAATTTGGCCATTTAGTTTAGTACTCGTGACTAAAGTGAGGAGTGAATGGGCGATTTATCATCATATTGCTAACATCAACAGTCAGAAATTATGAAATTTAAAAGTAGATTCGGAATATACATGTAATATCTACTAATTATAATAAAAAAACATATTTTTTTACCATGTTTTATTTTTAAAAATGCATGGAAACATGGCTTGGTCACACCCTAATTTCTCGGGATTGCGAAAGTCATGCTGTAGAAATAATAAATACTTACTCGAAGGCACACACTACATAGTATCAACAATATTTTGTTTTTAAGCACATGAACCTAAATGTTGTTATTTCTGCTAATTATTAATGAACTTATTCTGTGGTTGCGCTTACGCCATGGCTACCAAAACAAATCCTTGTAAAATTCCCACCAAAAAATCAGAGTACGGAAGTCGTTCGCACAAAGTCTCTCAACAAACATTACGAAATTTCCCAAATAATGCTTGTCAATCTATGGTGTTTATCTGTTGATTGTCCGCATTTAAACGTGACTTAATAAGACAAGTTGAAATGAAGCTTTCGAATGGCTTTATTTACTTAAGGATGGTATTTACCGAGCGAGGTAGGAACTGTCCGTGTAGGTGACGTGGTCTGTATTTGTCCAACATCCATGGTTGCTTTCTCGCTTCGTTATGCTTCTATTTAACTCTCAACGTGTTTTATTTCGATCGAAAAAACGTAAGGAGAATTTCGGCATGCCCGATGACCCAATGTCAAATTTCTAACAAGCATGGCTGCTGCATCAATATTGATCCAACGCACCTGTCCGGTATCTACCGGTGCTCTCGGCTACCGTTCAGTGTCGTCCCCGACATTCCCAATGGAAATATTTTATTTTTGGAAAGGCAAACAAATCGAGGAATTGTGTGTTTATGAGCGGATACGCAACTTTCCTTTCGAAATGTTAATGAGTGGAGGATTAAAAGCAAACATTGAGTTAATTGATGCGCAAAAAGGTCGCGGAGAACCGGCCACAAGCAAAATTCAATTTAAAATTTGCATTTCTAATTTCTAATCACGTGTCGAGCTAGTGATTAATGTGAGGATGCGCTTTAGGCTCAAGTATGCTTTGATTTAAAATGCTTAATTATTATTTATTTACACAGGTGTCTAAGGAATTGGTAAAAGTAGAAATGCGGCTCTATACGAGACAAAATTGCGCCCAATCTATTTTGCTTTATTAATACAGAATACCTACCTATAAGGACGTATTGTTTATGAATTGTTTTATTTATCAGCTTTACTGTATAAATAAAGAACTCAAAAGTATTAAAGTTTTAAAGCCGTCAATTGTTCTAGACTGAATTTTAAGCTTTTTTACGTACAAATAAATAAACGGGATGATTTTAGGGTGAAAATATTTTAACAGGTGAGCTCTATAGAGCTCAAAAGAAGGCAAAATAACTCTGAATGTTTATAGTTTTTGAGATGCAGAGGGTTTTGTTCGTCGAATAAATTTAAATTTGGAACTCAACCTTGAACTTCACGAACTTAAATTGTAAACAAATATAATATGATCTCCGAAGTTAGCTCTTCAAAATCTAACACATTGTTTTAAAAAAATGGGTTGAAATTAGCAAAAATAAGCACACACAAAAGTGCTTTATTATAAAAAAATCATAAAACGGTAAAAATTTTGGATCAATTTCTTTATTGAAGATAACACCCAATTTCATTACCTCATATGTTATCGATTATTGGTAATGTAACCTTTTGGATAAAGTACTCAAAACGTTCAAACTTCATTTATATTTCATTTTTTTGACAATTCTTTCGACGCTAAAGTGGAGGTTGCACCCTAATGTCTATCTGAGAAACTATTAGTTATTTTGATTTCTTTTGAACTCTATTATCACCTGTTAAAATATTTGCACATACCTTAAAATCACCCAGTACATACTTATAGGCTTAATAAAAACTATGGAACCAAACGTTTTTTGCTTAAACTAGTTGAAGCTTATACTTAAATAAGTATTTTTTGAAAAACACTAATTGATGAGTGACAAAGTACTTCATTTGATCAAGAATAATTTTTTTTAATTTTGTTGAGTTCTGCAAGGTTTTTAATTTTTTTAAATGACAACCTATTATAAAACTTTTTTTACAAAGGCTGTGATTTAAGGATTACAAGTATGTAAACTCGTTTTATTCAATTTTTATCGAAAAAAAAAATTCAAATAAGTTGCCATTTAAACCAAAAATCGCATAATTAAGAAACAAAACATTTCATTTTCAAAACACGATCACAAGTTTTATATAGCACTTTAATTTTTATTAATTATTATTTTTAAAAGGCAAGTAATTTTTAGTAGGTTTACCTACAGCGTGTCCCAGCTAATAACGTAACTATGTAATTAAATATGTAATAATAGAAATATCTACTTCAAATTTAAAATAAGACCCTGCATATTGTCTTTCAACAAGCTCACTAACTATTATTTATCACTAACTATTGCTATTAAATTGCTTTTAAGCAATTTGAAAATTAAATTAAATAAAGTAGGCTGTGGATTATTATTTATTTATCTAAGACAAACAAACGACTGATAAAAAAAACTGTTCATCTTTGATCAACGAAATATTGTAATATCTTTAAAAAATAATAAAAGTTATGGCTTGAGGCTAATAATTATAATGAGAGAATTAAAAAGAAGAATTGAAGGCATATTTTTTAATATAATTATTATTTAAAATATAAATATAAAAACTTGAAGAAAATAGCTGGGATTTTTTCACTTTCAGTGTCTCATTTTTTATGTTTACTTATACCCCACAATCAGCTTATACCTACTTCACATTTTAAACCTTACACTACCTTCTTTGATGCTTTACTGAAGGGTAAACGTTCCATTTTTGTTATTATAGGATTAGAAACCCTGAACTTTCCTTACCTGATTATGTTGGTTTTGTTCGGCCATCGCTTTTTCTTTGGCTTGTCTTTTGCACTTGTACCGGTGGTTCTGGAACCAGATTTTCACCTGCAACAACAAAATCATTGATTTAAAAAAAAACGCTAATCAAACATCGATCTAGCTTTCGCCATATGCTCCTCTTATTTCAAACCAGTAGCAGCAGAGTATGTCAACAAGGTGAAGAGTTCTTGATTAGGAAGCTGTGTTCGTCGCGAGTGTTTAGACATTAATTACTCCTTGTGAGGAGGCTGATGGCCACTCGTGCAAGAGGCGACCATGTGTAAGGCGCGATGGACCTTTCACGGACTTCATTTTTTATTCTTTTTGAAAGTTGATTAACGAGAAAGATTCTTGCAAGGCGATTTGTAGTTTGTAAATATTTCATTTGTGTGATTCATAAACAGGAAATAAATATGAAAGAATCTAACCCTCTTCTAGCCCACATAAAAGAATAAATTCTTTTCCAATTATGGGATCATACGCGAGGTTTTGGTAGCCGAGCACTTGTCGGTGATTGAATGCGCCCATTGGGGCGGATGCACATCGCACCCACATCAACCCTCAATTACCCGCGCTAACGACCAACGATCTCGACAGGGACCGGTTTGCTTCTTGAGATTCTTATAATTAAATTGGGGACGGTTTTTATTGCGATTAACTTGAATAGGGTGTGTTGGAAAAGTATTTTTTATTGGAAATTAGGGGTAAATTCTCACGCACCAGGTGATCCCTATCGCAGATGATGTGTTGACAGTTTAAGCGATATAATCCGGGATTAATATGAGCGGTGCTCCCCTGTTTGCCCGGATTATAACTGTATTAAACTAGGATTATGATAATTAACCGCCGGTTAAGAAATAATAACTATTATGATCTACGGTCCGGTGCCTAATGTTAATCGTTAAAAATAATAAAGTTTAGAATTGGAGATTAATATTTGGGGATATAGGGATGCTATGTAAACAAATATACCTACCTACATTTTGTAGGGATTTTTATTTGTATCTAAAATATTTAAATAGGGGATTTATTCGAAATGTATTGCCATCATGCACGGCACTCAAAGTTTATTATTATTTCGTATTTCTAGTTAGATAATAAATTATAAATTTAATAGCAAATTGCTTTCTGCGAGTTTGCTTATGATCCCCTTCAAATGTTGAGCCTTCTTTTGGGATGCACAGCCCACGTTAATTTAATTATGACCCGTTTCGTAATTAAATTGTAATTAATTGGAAAAGCGGAGCAAGCGTATGCTTTCATCAAATAAAACGCGAATGGTATTTTATATTTTTTTATTGGATGCAATGGCGACAGCTGGTTTCCACAATACGCACTTGAAAGTCTGGTCGATGAAAACCACCCCATCGGACGCGGCTGCGGTAATTCAGTTTGGTAGTAACTGGCTGTTTAGAAATGGCCCCGGGGGTGATTGTAACGCAATCATGTATGTATAGAACGGACGACGTCCCCAATTTGCTACACATACATAAAACACCGGATCGGGATAAAAGAGACAACTCCCCACGGTCGTGAAAAGAGGAAGTGTCATGGTTGCCAACTGATGCGACAAATCTATCTGATGGCCGATGGTAATCGGCTAACACCGTTTGATGATCCCTTGGTGGTGGATTTTATGGTACAGGGAGGATCTTTGGTGTGTAATTTAGTGGAAAAAAGATGGATGATGTTGTTAATTTAAGTTATTTTTTTTTAAATAAGCTTTATTTGCAAACGTCAGAAAAATGACGCTTTTATGACTAAATGACACAAGTAAAAATTTTACCTTTCAGGCATAAGTAAAAACTTTGTTTTTTACCAAAGCGTTTTAACTTTTATCATGAAATTTTCCAATGTTGTCTCTTTCGCTGCTTCAGCGATTTCTGGAGAGGTAAGTACATTGTAAATCATTAGCATTCGACATTTTGCACAATTAACTGCTCTAGTCATTCACTAGTTAAATCAATAAACTTTTACTCCTAATAACATATACTTACATAATATACTATTAAATGACACACCATTTATAAAACATTAAACAAATTTTAACAAATGCGCAAACTAAATAAAAGTGTAAATTGAAGTATAAATTTATTTTATAATTCTTCTTGGTTGATTATTAAATTTTTTAATTAAATTGCATTTTTGGTGTTTTTAGACGTTTTCTTATATTATTTTAAAACTTTTTTTCGTTAGGAACAAAAAATGTGATTTGAAGTACTGCTGCAATGAATTTTTGTCAATAACTATTGGCAGTAGTAAACCAAGAGGGATATATTTTTGACTTAATTTTTGGAAAACGTTTTAATTTGGTTGTAAGGTGTTATAAAATCTATTTTTACACGTAGGTAGTTACTACTTGATACACGAATGTCAATTGTCGAATAAATTTCAACAAGTCGTTAGCATTTTATAACATTACCTAATAACTCAAAGCGTCTTGAATTTTCTAACTTATTCAGCGAAATTAATCTGAATCGATTCACAAATTCACATATTCACAAAATAAGAATTTTCGTCATTAATTTGCAAAAAGTAATTTTTTCGAACGCACTCTGATGAATTCTATAATAACTAATATGTTACTTTACCCGATTTTCTTGAACGTTTATAAAAAAATTGTATGTACATACATATAGGGTGATTTTAATAGTTGTGTATAAATTTTAAAAGGTAAAGGACGAAAGATATGAAAATAATTCAACTTACCTCATTTTAATGTTTAGGTAGGTATATGTATGTTGTATGTTGTATGGACAGTGAATTTCGTCCACCCAATTTCTGTGGATTCACAAAAATTCACTGTAGTCTGTGCTTTATTGTCATGATAACTGACATTCAAATACGTATTGTCAAATTTAATCAAATTCGAACATGCCAGCAGTAAGTGCGTTTAATAAAATAAAAATTATCTTTCTAGTACAAGAAGGTATGTCTCAAAGACGTGTCTCTATACTTTTGGGCATACCAAGGACTACCATTTCAAAGGACAAAGTAAAAAGTAGCAAGAAGCATCGAGCATTCTGTCAACATGACAAACGTTAATCAAAATTCTGAAACAAGGTTAGGAAAACCTAAAGACTAATTTACACTTTTAATCTGTCAGGGAAATTGGGTGGACGAAATTCACTGTCCATCACTGTATGTTGGTACATACATACCTACATAGTTTCTGAGATTTCAGTATTTACGAGTATTACGATGTTTAAGAAAAATTGAGTTAAAATGATAAAAAAGTGGACTCATATTAAAAAAAATAATAGAAAATAAATTTTGCATCACATTTTTTGAATTTCATTACTTCAAATGTCACAGAATACTATCAATCTTGGAATAAAGTATGTACTCACAAGAAGCAACAGAGTTATATGCTCAGCTAGGTAAGTATTTATTTAATTTTTTAAAAGAAAAATTAATACGAAATGTAGGTAGGGTTGTATTTAATTAAAAGAAAAACATGACAATGTCATTTTCTGTTTAGTCATTGTGATATTTTTATTAGTTATCAATATTGAATGCTGAATGATGTAATGTAAAAATGGGCTGTTATTGTCATATTTGAGTAAAATGGAAGCTATTTTATGATTTTGAAAAAAAATTCTTCGAACTTCTTTTTTAAAAAATAGTCAAAAAATGTGGGTAATATAATTGTAATTCTTAGTTTTTAACATCACTATACCTATAATATTTATTTATAGCTAAGCTACTAAGTAAGTTATAATTAAGAAAACGTTATAAAATTTTGTGAGCTGAAAGTTTTAAAAATGTTTTGTTGCCATATAAATTTATGGGATGTAGGTTGTCGATTAGCATTAGATAGGTACTGGATATAAAAAAATGTGTACTTTTTATTCATCTTGGTCGTGTCAGTACTTTATAGAGTGAGTGGCAAAATTATGGAATAATCTTATCAAAACTGAAAATATTTTGTTTTGGCAAAAATGCTCTAACAGTTCTAAGATTATTCTACAATTTTGCCGTTCACTGTATAACCGAGTGCAACCTTTTACTGTTTCCTAAAAATATACAGGGTGCGTCAGAACTCGCGCCCCAGAGAAAAATTTCAAGTAAGATAAGATACCAGGAACATGAAAAAAATGTTTAAAAAATTTAATCTTGACGTTTTTTATGTCTATTTAATGTTACTGATGATGTTGTATGTGTTTTTTTTTTTATAATTATTTAGTAAAAGTACAAAAATTTTGCAAATAAAAGCCACAAATAACAATAAACAGAGTTACAATTTAGGACATAGTTTTCTTGTTTCCGCTTCCAATGGCTTGTTGTAAAAAAAAACTTGGAAAATTATTTTTCCAACAGAAGTAAATAAAGTCAAAGTGCAAAATTTAAACTCTCATAACTTCGAAATTTTTATAGATAGAATTTTTGTAACATTTTTTCCATGTTCCTGATATCTTACCTTACATGGCGTTTTCTCTGGGGCGCGAGTTCTGACGCACCCAGATGTCCCAGTGTTAGTGAAAGAATTGTATAAAAATTATTTGAAATGCAAGAAAAATGCAAAGAAAAGATATTCACTGATTTTAATAGGTAGATAAGTTAACAGGATACAGAGTGCACCAGAACTCGCACCCCAGAGGAAAAAAAAGATACCAGGAACATGGAAAAAATGTTAAAAAAAATTATCTATAAAAATTTCGAAGTTATGAGGATTTAAAGTTTGCACTTTGACTCTATTTATTTCTGTTGGAAAAATAATTTTCCAAGTTTTTTTGCTATAGGCTATTAAAAGAGGAAACAAGGAAGCTGTATATCCTAAATTGTAACTCTGTTTAATGTTATTTGTGACTTTTATCGTCAAAATTTTTCTCTTTACTAAATAAATGTAAAAAAACATATACAAGATTATCAGTATCATTAAATAGATAGGTATAAAAAGATGTCAAATGTCAAAAAATAAATGTCAAAATTTTTCGACAGATAGAATTTTTTAAACATTTTTTTCATGTTCCTGGTATCTTACCTTACTTGAAATTTTTTTCTGGGGCGCGAGTTCTGGCGCAGCCTGTATATCTGTATTCACATAATACCTACGAATAATCACGATTAAAATTTAATTTGCGATTAATTTGACATTTGATGATGCAAAGTAAGTGGAAACCTAATCCTAATTACCTTAATTCGATTAAACTTTTAATTAGTTTTCTGTAAATTGACCCTAAATACTTTAAAATAAAAAAAAATACCATCAGGACAAAAAATTGAGTACCTACTTACTTACTCGTATAATTACTCCTATTAATTATTATTATATAGGTATACCTATACCAGTCAGCTTAGTCTATAGTCTCCGAAAAATTATCATAATCCTTAGGTATGTTTAGGTATATACGACACTATTATACTTGAAGTACGATAAATTTTTATAGAGAAGGTATGATGTATTTACATCTTTTTTTAATTTTTTTTCTTAAAAAATATGATTTTTTTATGTTTAACAATTTGAAACAGTTACATACTAAATTATTGGTGCATTAATAAAAGTAAAGACTGTGAAACTAACCTGGGTAGGCGTGAGATGAATCAACGAGGCCAGATGCTCCCTTTCGGGGGCTGACAGATACTTCTGCTGCTTGAACCTCCTCTCGAGCTCGTAAACCTGCAAACACAGTCACTGCACATTTCCGAGGGATTTTTCCCATTATGGATAGAAATGAGGAAAAGTATCGCGCCACCGACGCCAATATAATATTTTAAGTCCTGATGGAATCTATAGTTTGATAGGCCACTCGAGGCCACGGAGGGGTGGGGACTGGGCATGAGGCCTACCTGTGCTTGCGTGAAGAGGACCCGCCTCTTCCGCCGTTGGGCCAAGGGGAACTGCATGGGCTTGGAGTCGGGCATGGCGCACGCGCCCAGGCCGGGCATGCCTGTGTTCAAGCCATGACCCATGTTCGCCGAGGCAGCAGAGCTTCCCATTAAACGGGAAACTGAAAATAAAACGAAAGACATAGTTATTTGAAAAGTCAAATTCGAAATCATCAACAATAATGTTTTTATCTTATAAGTAGACAATCTCATAAAGGGGGAAAAATTTTATGATTTGAGAAGTTGGTAAGTCGGATTAAATAGAACGAAATACATATTAAGAAAGTAAAAATTACATCAAATAATGCTTGTAAAAGTTTCATTTCTCATGTTTTTTAATCAATTGTAGTTCTCAGCTACATGCTCTATACTCTATACTAGTATACCTACTTACATAGGTATTTGACCTAACAGTTACCTATGTTTGTAAAATCGTATATTTTTATTATGAAGTACCTACCTACATATTTTTAGATATACTTCTGCTATTTTGGAATATACCGCGTGTTCACGCGCAGGCTGGGATATAGGAAATTAACACGGGAAATTAGTTTTTATTTTTTTCCGGCTGCAGGAGTAACAAAAATCAAAATCTGATTGATATAATTTCTAGTGCTCGAAAAGGGCTTTGTTATCGACATTTTTTTCGATTTTCCAATTAACTCCAATTGGGCGAAAACGGCTCTCGAAACATCGAAATTTCAATTTGCCGCGTTAGCATTACTAAAAAACTAACTATCAAGTCGTTATCAGCTGAAAACCCTTGCAATTATTGTGTTTTCTGTATGTTTTTGGAAAATATTAATTTTCCAATAAAACACATCAATAATAATTGAATGGAAATGCTTTTCAAGCCAAAGTAAAATTTTCTTACATTATTGGAGTGATAAGTCATGTGAACGAATTGCGAGATTATGTTCATATTGTCAATTTGAACATTTTTTTACGCTTTATTCTATAAATTGGACCAAAATTACAAAATACTGCATCAGAGGTCGAGAAGAATGAGTGCAGAAGCATCACACAGTAAGTAACGTTTAATTCTTTGATTGATTCTGTGAAATTGAATCATTTTCATCGTATTACGTATTCTTTTTTTGAACTGTACCACACATGCATAGAACTCTATCAGCAGGCTAAAAGAACACGTTCACAAACATCATATAGGAAGTAATAGTTATTATTTTAGAATTATAGCATCGGTGGACTAAAATCTGAATTTTAGATCTGAACTTTAATCGACGATTAAATATTGCATTGCATGAGATTGCATTGCATTGCATGAGATTAAAAACCGAGACTTCGAGGAGAAAGATGCTGTGACTTTTTTTTAGAACATGTTTCTGTATTTTGTGTATATTTTGCGACGATATTAGAATTGTTACACTTGTTTAATTTTCGAACGAACACTATACAAAACTAAAATCAATATTTAAAATGTATTCCTTGCTGAAAATCATAATAAAGAGAGCATCTTGAAGTGACATTTATATTTTTTGAACATTCAGCAAACACCATTGCAAGGGTTTTTAGGTGAAAAAGTCTGTTGGCAAAAATGACTTGACATCAGTTTGTTTCTTAGTAACGCTAACGCATCAAATTCAAATTTTGATTTTTCGGGGGCCGTTTTCGCCCAATTGGAGTTAATTGGAAAATCGGAAAAAATGTCGATACGAGCACTACAAGCTCCATCAATCAGATTTTAATTTTCGTTGCAAAAAATAAAAACTAATTTCCCATGTTAATTTCCTATATGCCAGCCTGCATGGGACACGCGGTATTTATTAAGTTAAGGAAAACTCCAGTAGTGGCAACTGATTTTTGCCTTCAAGGTTTTAAAAAGGAGCTATACCTACCTTTAAAAAAATTTATAAAAATGATATATCAATAATTTTCTGATTGTGATGATACTGATGAATAAAAAATAAAAATAATAAAATCAAACTTTTAATCATTGTTATCTATCACATACATCACTCACATAATAGGTAACGCTTTTATTACAAGAACTAAATCTCCCGAACTTATTATTATAGTAGTTACTATGTAGGTACCTACTCGTATATCTGCCCATTCTTGTGCAGTGATCACGCTTGTATCACGTGCACATTAGAAAAGGCTAATGTTATTAAAAAAAGGAAGAAAATAAATAAATAAATAAAACTTTTTTAAAAAACAATCATAATTTATTTTGTATGAGTTTTGTTCATTATAAATTTAATGGACGTTGAAAATACTCTCTCAGTGTTTAATTTTCTCAATGCTTAATTTTCTAGTGTTTAATATTTCAAAAGAAATAAGTTTACAATAGATAAAAAAATAGATATAGGCAGAAGAAACTTCAAAATTAAGCTACACTTAAAAGATTTGTAAGTATATCATCCAAATTCTTTTTTTCAAACGTTTTGAAACTTCCTGCATTCTGGCCATCATCTTTTAAAATCATTCAAACCTTATAAATAGCTGAAACAAAATTTGAAAAGCCATCATCTGCTGTCTTACATGCCACCGCCAGTCCATATTTACCCAAGACACCCCTCTTATTCTGCACTCGTAATATGAAATGGACACAGGGGCATTTTCAGAATAAATATTTATTCAAGGCACGCACATTCTTTGCAAAATCGATCTGCAAGGGTGTCAAAAACACCCTCTTCTCCTCGCACAATAGGTATCCACGATTCATACTTTCACACGCTCTTTAATTCCACAAATTCCACATTTGATTTATGTATTTTTAAGCAAGCGATAATTAACGCATCCCTCCGCCTCTTCCCTCGCCAGCTACTGTATTGTCATTGGTTCTGAAGTGCTCTGTCAACATAGCGAGCTTAGTGTATTTGCTGGGCTGTCAGTTAGTTACTGCCATCCTAATAGCACATCCATGCATGGATGGTGTAAGTGTATACCTATATATACGTGTACGTTTGTGTATTTTCGAGGCCACTCTGAGCAGAGTTATTGCTTCCAGAGGCTCTGTTTGCTTACACGTCTTCTGAAATAATGCGGGGACAATGACGGTTGCGCCGCGCTGGTATTTTTCAGGTTTAATTAACGAAAGCGATTTGAGAGTAACAATAGAGTTATTATTTTGCGGTAAATACCTGGAGAGGGGTTTGTTTGCTAGGGTCAGAACAGGGGAGGGTTGATGAATGGCGGGTGCATCATCAATCACAATTTATCAGACTAGTTTTGGTAAATTGTGAAAATGAAGTATGTGAAAAACGAGTATGTGGGATTCAATTATGTTATTATTACTTTGTTTGAACTTGCATACAGTGGTGATTAAAAAACATCATTTATCTACAAATAAAAATATTTGTATGTTATAGGTAGGTACAGTTGCGGACAAATTACTTTGGTCGTCAAAGTCACTTGAGTGACGTAAAGCAAGAAATAGGATAGTTAACCAATTTTTCTACTATTGTCAATCATCATTGTCACTGACTGTTACTGTCAGACTTATCATTGCATATTTTTGAGAAGAGAAAAGTTAATAATTTGAAATTGTCATTCATCAATGCTTTGTTTACATTTTTTTTGAAATGACAGAAAAATGATGAATAAAGTATTTTTTTTCCAATAATAAGTATGCATAAACAATACGTACATTTTCTTTTTGACATAACACAATAAATGATTTCAAAAAGATAATAATAACATACAGTGTGTCTCCGGATAGGTGAAACGACTCTTGTAAAAGAAAATCTTGAGCTAAATTTTAAAGTTTTGGGATTTAGCTCCGCTTGGTTAAAGATTAATTTCTAACATAATTTTAGTTTTGAAAAATCATGTGTCTTGGAAATTAAAAAAAAATAGATTTCTTTGTAAAGGAAAGGACCTTTTATGTGGTAAATACGACAAAAAGTTATTAAGAAAAGTTGTTTTGAATCAAGATTTAGGTTTCAATACCAATATACCAATTTTAAAATTATTGGCTAACTATGATTTTTTATTTTTTTCCAAGATAATTGTTTTTTATTAACAGATACGTCAAAAAGTTATTTAGTACCAATTATCTAAATGTATTTTTTTATTCGTTATAATTCGTAATAAAACTTTTTGATTTCTGAAATAAACATTACAAAAATTAAAAATTATAGTTGGCAGATGATTTTGAAATTTGGTATACATGCCTAGATGTTGATTCTAAACAACTTTTCTTATTAATTTTTTGTCAAATTTGCCACACCAAATTTACTTAACTTTACAGAAAAATAGATTTCTTAAAAATTTTAAATAATTGATTTTTTAAAACTTAAATTATGTTAGAAATTAGTCCTTTAACCATAAGCATCAGGATACAAAAAATAAAAATTTAAATCGAGAGTTTTTGTCTTTCACAAAAGTTGTTTCACCTATCCGGGGACACAGTGTAGATATGATTGCATCAAAATTTTAGATAAGAAGAAACAATCTGTAATAAGAAACTCATGGCAGTAAAATGTGCAGTTATTAACGAATTAAATGAAACTATTAAATGTCAAGTAATTTGAGTTTGTTAATGATGTATAAGAAACATCGGTTCTTAATTTCCTATTCTATATCTCTGAAGAATTGAGTTTTTGCAAAAGTTTACAAGTTTTTACAAAAACCATCAATAAATTAAGTAAAAAACATTTGTATTTATAGCTTTGATATACAAGATGTCTAAAAAAGACAACAAGAGGTTTTGTAAGATATTATATGTATGATTTCTTAGATCTTCATAGAAAAAAAGTTCCTATGTTCGGAAATGCTTCCTAATAAAGTAAGAGCGATAACCCGATAACTCAACCTTAAATTAAAAAAAAAACTGATTGCATACCTATAGGTTGCATTTTGGGATTAAGGTCAGTGCACAGTTTAAGAAGTTTAGGAAACAACGTTTTCCATTGCAAAATTTCTTAGGTTTACCACCAGTGACTCCACCTCTCTAATTAAAGAACACAATTTTTGATAGCATTAGTAGATTTAGCTTTACAAAAATATTCCGGACGCAAAATTTTGTAAGTTGGTCTCAACCGGTTACTCAGATGATTGAAAAATAGACCTTTTGCCTTTTCTCTTTATTTTCAGAGAATTTTAGCTCTTTTATGAAGTATACAGGATGTTCGGTCCAAGTCGCCCCGGCCGATTACAC